CACTCGGCCCAGAAGAGTCCGCCTTCTGAAAAGCTCTGGCTGGATGTGGTTCGTTGTGGGAAACCTCCGCAGCCGGGTTTGCCAGAACATGAAAGCTGCCAGCGATGCGACGGATGTCAGGAAAACGGGAGCCCACTCTCTAGCAGCTTGCAATGGCGGCTCAGGTTGTGGCAGCAGGTCGTTCCATGATGTTGGTAAGACGCGCGCATCATCTTCTGATTTGCTCGGGGTGGGCGGTCTTCCTGAGCTGGAGGAGCTGAACGGCCATGGCATTTTCGAGGACTCCTAGTGGAGTTCTGAACCTACACACGTTCACCGGCGGTGAGATGTAGACCGAGCGAGTGTCTAGAGCTTCTCATCAGCTTATTGCGTTTGCGCAACCTATGAAAGAGAGGGCAAAGTCAGGGAGGGTCTTGGTCGCAACATCATTGAATCCGATTATGCTAGACATTGATGTCCTGTGCATACGCAATGCAAGTTGAAATTGAGAAAACAGTTGCTTACCTCGTTTGATACCGGCTGCAGCTTGAGACTAGTTTGTGAGAGAGCTGCAACTCAATTGAATCAACATCCATGTAGCATAAGCCGTATGTGATACAGTACGTACTGTACATAAGGTACTGTTGTGCACCTCCAAGGGCTGCGGCAAAACCGTGCTCCGCTGAGCCAATCAGCGAAGGCCCATTTTGAATCGATGCGTTCGAGCTTTCGGGACATGACGGCCACACTACACACTTTCGAAGGCGAATCCCTTCTATCCAACCTAGCCGGCCCTTAGCCATTGGCATAATAAAGGAGGCTCAATTGGAGGCAGCATATCTCCTTGACCTCTTTTGCAGCCGTCTCTCCACTCTACAATCGCCATGTCAGGCCTCTACCGACTTGCTGGCCACAGCGCCAAGAGGTTATGTCTGCGCCCGGCAGCAGTCACCTCCTTCGCCGCCCGCCCGTTCTCGACGACCTCCCTGCGCCGATACGCCGATGCCGCCCCCGAATACCAAGGAACGCGCCTCACTCCTGTCTCAACCGACTTCTCTCGCGCCGAGGACCACTACAGCTTGACGCCGCCGAAGGACCAGGACACGACACCCGAGGAGTCTGTCGAGGACCGAAAGATCCGCCACTACACGGTCAACTTCGGTCCCCAGCATCCCGCCGCCCACGGTGTGTTGCGTCTGATTCTCGAGCTCAATGGCGAAGAGATCATCAGAGCCGACCCTCACGTCGGTCTGCTTCACAGAGGTACAGAGAAGCTTTGCGAGTACAAGACGTACCTCCAGGCCCTCCCCTACTTCGACCGTCTCGACTACGTTTCCATGATGACGAACGAGCAATGTTTCGCCCTTGCCGTTGAGAAGCTTCTCAACGTCGAGATTCCCGACCGCGCTAAGTGGATTCGTACCTTGTTCGGCGAGATCACCCGTATCCTGAACCACCTCATGTCCGTTCTGTCACACGCCATGGATGTTGGTGCTTTGACGCCTTTCCTGTGGGGTTTCGAGGAGCGTGAGAAGCTCATGGTAAGTTGGGGGAAATGACGAAGTCAATTGTGCGAATTCCGGCTAACCCGCATGTCTGTCAGGAATTCTACGAGCGTGTCTCCGGTGCCCGTCTCCACGCCGCCTACGTCCGCCCCGGTGGTGTCCACCAGGACATCCCAGTCGGTCTTCTCGACGACATCTACCAATGGGCTACCCAGTTCGGTGACCGCATTGACGAGACCGAGGAGATGTTGACGGACAACCGTATCTGGATCCAGCGTCTTCAGGGTGTTGGTGTGGTCTCTGCCGCCGAGGCTCTCAACCTGTCATTCACCGGTGTTATGCTGCGTGGTTCCGGTGTCCCCTGGGATATCCGCAAGAGTCAGCCTTACGACGCCTACGGCGAGGTTGAGTTCGACGTCCCCGTCGGTGTCCGCGGTGACTGCTACGACAGATACCTTTGCCGCATGGAGGAGTTCAGACAGTCCCTGCGCATCATCCACCAGTGCCTCAACAAGATGCCCGCTGGGCCCGTCCGTGTCGAGGACTACAAGATCTCGCCCCCTCCCCGTGCTGCCATGAAGGAGAACATGGAGGCCCTTATCCACCACTTCCTTCTCTACACCAAGGGTTACACTGTTCCCCCTGGTGAGACCTACTCCGCCATCGAGGCCCCCAAGGGTGAGATGGGTGTCTTCGTCGTCAGTGATGGCAGCGAGAGACCCTACCGTGTCCACATCAGAGCTCCTGGTTTCGCTCACTTGGGCGGTTTCGACCATGTTTCCAAGGGTCACATGCTTGCTGACGCTGTGGCGGTTATCGGTACGATGGATTTGGTGTTCGGTAAGTTTATTTCATTCAATGAGGCTTTTCGTGGCGCAGATTGCTAACTATTACCCCAGGTGAGGTTGATCGGTAAAGGGTGTATCAGAGGATGGATATCAAAATGACTTTGAGGAACTTCTTTCCTTTTGTGTACTTGTAGAGTGAAGAGACAGAGCGCCGACGTATATACCGCATTGTTCTCTTTTCTAGAAGAATTTCGTACAGACCATGGCATGCAAAATGTCTCCTGTCTACGTTCACTGAATAAGCTTGTCTATGAAAATCTCGGTCAAGTGTTTGATAATGGCCATGGATTCGACATTTAGACTAAAGATACAAATGGCCCGATTATGCAGACCAGGCTTTATGGGTTGATAGTACAGCATTTTTGGGGTTGTAATACATAGAAGTACAGCTCTAGAAGAGCTTGGCGCCAGTAGTTGAGGCCTGGTCCATGAAGAACTTCTTCAAGGGGCCGAGAGCATTCACCGCGCTGAGACCAAGAGATCGCAATGGGACAAGAGGTCCGCTCTCCACAGAGTACAGCTTGTGAAGTTTGTCGCAGACGCCTAACACAATGTGGTTCGCAACGTAGCGCTCTGCATTGTAGGCTTCAAGAGAAAGTGTCGTGCCCAAGTCCTGGCCAGTAGAAACGGCTGTTTCAATGGTCTTGACCAAGCTTTGGACGTCTCCTTGCCCCTGGTTCAGGCCTTGCCCAGCCAAGGGGTGGATAGTGTGTGCCGCGTCGCCAACGAGGGCAATGCGCTCGGCGGTATAAGTGTCTGCGTGCCGCATCTTGAGCGGGAAAGAGGCAACGGTGCCCTCCTGGACTCCAACGACCTGCTGAGGTATCGCACGGTGGTCAAAAGGAGTATGCTCGAGCCTCCAGGCAAGCTCCTCAGAATGACCAGACTCCTGCTTGTGCATAAACTCCAGGTCGACGGGGCTCAGTCGGAAGGCAGCGTTGACCATGGAGATGAAGTCTTTCGGCGAAAGGCTCTTCAAAAGCGCGGCGTTGGCAGGTGTTGTTGACCATACCAGCGTTGAGTAGTTGCCAGGCATCGGCAACATTGCCACAGGACCAGTGGGCAAGAAGCGCTGGTACGCAATCTTGTTGTGTTCCCCGCCCCATCCCTCTCCTTCCAGCTGAAGCGTCGCGACAACGCCATGCCTACCATAGTCCCAGCCCTGCGCCTTGATACCAGCAAAGGTCCGCACTGGGCTGTTTGCGCCGTCAGCTCCGACCAGCAGTCTTGCGTGCAGCTGCTTTCCGCCTGACAAGTGAACGACAGGCCACTGCGTCAGGTCCAAGTCCTCCGTTTCCTCTCCGAAGCTGATGTTCTCGACCTTGGCGTTGTCGAATACCGAGACCCCACCAAGCTCCTCCAGACGACTCAGCAGACCAGAGGTCAAGTTGAGGTTCTCGCACATGTATGCAATTGTCTTGCCCGGCGCCGATCCCGCCGGCCAGTCGAATTCGATTCTCGCGCCACTAACACCGTCCCAAACCTGCATTTCATTGTAGTCTTGGACACGATTGCGCTTGATGTGGCTCCACGCTCCAATTGTGTTGAGGTATTGTGCTGAGGTCGGCGTGAGGGAGCTGCATCGATTCGAGAACTTTTCGGCCGGGAGGTTCCACGCGCGAATCTTGGAGAGATCTTGAGCTTCGACGAGTGCTACTCTGAGACGGGATGTGACTGGATTAGCTCCTGGAGTATGTTAGTCCCTCTCTATGTACCCATATACAGTCGATTGTAGCGTACGGAGAGCGCTCAGAAGACTCAAGCCTGCTGGTCCACCTCCTACGCAAACGACATCATAGATGTCTGGCTCGGAGGCTGAGGATGTTGCGCCTACACTCGCATAGGATCGGCGGGCCTGGGTCTGGATTTTACGTGTGCAAGACCTGCAGACCGAACGATTTGTGGCCAAGAGGACTCTGGTGGTCGCCATTTTGTTTAAGCCGTCAAGAGGCGGGTTCCTGAGCAGTTCGCTGAGATTGGTATCACATGGAACGAACGATCAGTCGAAATGATGGTCAAGCTCGAAATAATTCGCCACACCCAGTCACATTTCTACACAAGCTTGAGTGTGGCTGAGAAGACCCCTCGAGTCCGTGCTTCTTCTTCCCCCCTGCTCTTACCTCGGAGTCTGGAAGGACTGGAAACTTTGGAAGGCACACCCCCTGTCACTTCCCTAGTCGCCCCCCACACTAGTTGTTTTTTTCCACATGACCTTTGCTGTTGCCACAGCACCCAGAGCGACGGATGCTCCTGCTTGTTGCGTCAGTGGGCTCCCGCCCATGTCTTTCATCCATCCCGTCCGACGTTATCAACATCTGTCCACTGGGCGCATCCTTTGCACAACTTGCACCTTACACCCCATCGCTCAGACCTTGGTGCACCTGCCACGGCCGCAGAAAGCAAGGCCCAAATTCTCTGTGCGACTGCATTTTGTACGCGCCAGTCACTCCTTCCTTGCCTGCTCTATCACTCAAGGTTTCATACTGTAGGGCTTCAAAGGCTGCCTTGTGAGCTTCCTTTGACGTCTTGTCGCAAAGTGTCCAAGCTCTGATACCGTCATCCAGCACCAACCTTTCTTTCATTGCAACTTCTGAGTTTCTCTGCTTATACTCTCTGCTTTCTCATTTGCAAACAACCAACTTTCGACGGCATCTCCAACTGCTTCAACATGGATGACTACGAATACCTTCAGCCTGGGTTCGACCCCAAATCACTGACAGTGCCTCGGCTCCGCTCGATCCTCGTCGCACACGACATCCAGTACCCCGCGACAGCCAAAAAGCCTCAGCTCATCCAGCTGTTCGAAGACCAGGTTGTTCCTCAAGCCAAAAAGATCTTGGCGAAACAAGCCAAGGCCAAAAGATCAAGCTACGGCATTGTCGACGCCGGGAGCTCTCAGGACACTGACGACTTCGATAACGACTACGACCTTGCTCCTCCCCCGCCAAGGGTGACGAGATCGAGATCGCCGCGCAAAGCTTCTACTCGGATCAGAAGCGAGGAATATGAGCAAGAAGTGCCGGCTCCAGTCAGCCCGACGAAGCGGAAGGTCCGAGCTGCAAGTCGACAATTGCCAGAGCCTGAACCTGAACCTTATGTCGAACCTTACACCGAGCCTGAGCCGCCCAAGTCTGTTCGCAAGCGAGCTGTCACTCCCAAGATTCCGAAGATCAAACAGGAAGAGTCTGAAGAGGAGTTCTTCAACCGTAGAGAGTCGCAGTGCTTCTCTACAGAGAACCCTTTCCAGAGTGGGAGCCCAGCAACGCAGCTCATCACCAGCCCCAACGGACGAAGAAAGACCACTGGCCTGGATTTCGCAAAGGGCAAACTTGAGAGTAGCCCTCGCCGACGAACGGATGGCCATTACGCCGAGAATCGCCCCAAATCGTCGAGAAAGTCTCATGCGTTCGAGGTTCCTGTCAGCGATCTTCTTCGCGAGCAAACACCCGAGCTCCAAGATTTTGAGGTTGAGGCTGGGGAAGAGTTCACCCCCGATGCACAGTTCGAGATGGAACAAGAGATGGCTGCTGGTGGTGAAAGAGCACTAGCCCCGCGGCCTACATCGCCTCCACGCCCGAGACGTAGTCTCTCCAAACCCCTTTGGGCTCTTGCGATCTCCCTGTTCGGAGCGTACGGTGCGTGGTACCGACAGGAGAAGGTTGCTGTTGGATATTGCGGACTCGGTCGACCTGCCACGCAAATCATCCCTCCTGAGGTCGCAGTTCCCGACTGGGCAGTGCAGCTTGCGGAGCCCCAGTGCGAGCCTTGCCCACAGCACGCTTATTGCTACGAGGATTTCACTGTACGCTGCGAGCCTGACTTCATCTTGAAGCCTCACCCTCTGGCTTTGGGTGGTTTGGTTCCCCTTCCGCCCACATGTGAGCCGGATGGAGAAAAGGTCAGAAGAGTGAAGGCTGTAGCGGACAAGGCGGTTGAGGAACTTCGGGAGCGCCGCGCGCAATTCGAATGTGGAGATTCTACTGTAGATGCTGGTCAGGCGCCAGCGTCCCCATCCATCGCAGAAGAGGAGCTGAAAGCTGCGATTAGTGCAAAGCGGAGCAAGAAGATGAACAAGCAGGAGTTCGACGACCTTTGGGTCGCCGCGATAGGAGAAGTCAAGGGCCGAGAGGAAGTCGAAGTGGCACCGTAAGTACTCATACTTCTTTCATTTGTCAGGGTCCTTTCCAGAAACCCCTTTCGCTCTTATATCAATATCGTCAAATCACCATTCTGACCAGTGTACTAACCAGATCGGATGTGCCCGAAGTAGAAAGGCCAATTCCACCTCAATTTCAGACGCCTACCTCTCGTCTACCTCTCTCGCTCGGCTACCGATCGGCTGCACCCTCAAGCGCTCAGTCAGACTCGGCTTGGCAAGACATCGACTCTCAATTGGATCTGTGATCCTTTTGATCTCGGCCTACTTCTACGTCCGGCGGAAGTACAGGTCTCACAAGGCGACTGTGGCGCAGGTTCCGGCCTTAGTCGACCTTGTGTTGTCGAGATTGGCGACGCAGAAGGAGCTCGGCGAGGAGGATATTGATGATCCTTGGCTTTTCCTGCCCAATCTCCGCGATGACGTACTTCGATCGGTACACTCGCTCGGAGAACGAGATCGAATCTGGACCAAGGTTAAGGCGGTCGTGGAGCAGAACAGTAACGTGCGGACCAGTCAAAGAGAGGGAAGGAGCGGCGAAGTTGGCCGCGCGTGGGAGTGGATTGGACCGATTGCAGGGGACAGTGCCAGACGGCGCAAGAGCGGACGTATTTCCTATGGAGCGGATGTAAAGACAGAAGATACCCCGGGGACGTCAGAGGATAAGGCTGCTGCTCATTCAAAGTGGGATGAGCCGCGGCCGATCTATTGAGCTGTGTGTGTGTGTCGATGGAGATTCACTGTCAATCAGTCATCATACCTTACCTAGGCACCATCACACGTAATATTTTCTTTGTCAGAACGGATTTGACGCGATGAGGAAGGTTCTGGTGGCTGTTCTCTCTCGATACCTTGCCCATGAGCTGGGACGGAAAGGCGTTCAGGAATGCTGTACAGAGCACGGATATGAGGGACAGAATCACGGTTTCGTAACATGACGCGGTGATGGTTTTCATACCCCGAGATTGAACATACTTCTTACCTTTTGCATGGTTCTTCTGCTGCGTTGTGATTTTTTACTCACTGGTCAAATTTCGTGCGTGAAATGGTTGGTTCATTCGTTGTCATCACTGGTTTGAGTCGTTGCTATACTCGGGCGGAGAATGTCGGAGCGATCGGATCTGCGAGCGGAGGTGGTGCAGCCAACACAACAACGGTTAAGGACACCCGGGGGATAAAAAAAGCCTTGGCGTTCAACATGCCAACCAAGATAGCTCTGTAGAAACCTTAAATAAAATGTTGAAGATCGTTGAATCAATTGTCGAGTAAAATGAGCTTTTTTCCTAATTGAACACTTACGCGACACATGGGCGGTGGTGGTCCAGTCTCGTTCTTATCTCAAGTTCTTGAATTTGGCTAATGCACAGGGTGTTTATTGACACGCAAGGGGAAGAGGACCCCTTGGACAAAGAAAAGCTTCTCGCTCAGACTCTAGTAAGGGTGGGGAATCTATTGGGCCTTGGAGGAGACGATCTCTGTTGCGAAGGGAATGAATGTTAGCAACAAGGACTTGATTGATGGCTCGGGTGGAGATCCCCGGGAGGAGGGCCATCCGATGACGGAGGTTGTTGGTGAAGAAAAATTGAGCACGTACTCTCGACATCAGCAATGCTCTGCTGGAGGATCTGCTGGAGGACCTTGGGGTTCTCGAGCTCCTTGGTGACCTTAGCGATGATGGTCTCGGCGAGCTCCTTCTGCTGGCGAGCCTTGACCTGGCCCTCGTAGCGGACCCAGGAGTCGAGGACGGCCTTGGCCTCGGCGGCCAGGGCGGTCTTCTGCTGGTGCTCGTAGGCCTGAGCCTCAAGCTGGGCAGTCTCCTATTAAATTGACATGTCAGCTGCTGTTCTGTGATGATTCTTTTGATGGTGCTCTCCAGCTGTGCCCAACTATTCCGTCCGACCGAGCTTGTTCCGAAATAGCCTCCTCTTCCATCGATTACATTATAGAGAGTCGTACCTTGGAGACGGCGAAGAGAGACTTGGTGATGTCAACAACGCCGGACATTTGCTGGACGTCCTCGATGCGTCCCTTGACGGCCTGGGTGTGGTCGGCACGGGCGGAGTTGAGGATGCCCTTGATCTTGTCGGCCTGGCCCTGGGCCCACTCGCTGTACATCGGGCCTCCGTACTTGATCAGACCGCCCCAGACGGCGAGCAGGCAGAACGCGACGACGGTCTCCTCGTTGACGACATAGTACTCGTTGCTGATGGCGTAGACGCTGAGGGCGGCGGACGAGGAGAGGATTGCGGTCTTGGAGAGGAGCGAGTTGCCGGGGAGGGCGTCGACGATGGACTGGGCCTTCTTCTTGGGGTCCTCGGCGGGAACGTTGGAGGCGTTGCGAGCACCGGCGATCGACGCCGAGATGGCGGGCAGAGTGCGGCGGGCCAGGGTCGGCCTGAGGAGGTTCGCGCCTGTTCGAGAAGGGAGGGGAGAGCCTGCGCGTTAGCCACCACGTTTACGTTTGTCTGCTGTCGTCGGGCAAGCCAATTGACACGCCGAAGCTTCGAGGGATGCGTCTGGACATACCGACAGCGCTTCGAGCCAAGCGGGACGCCATTGTGTGATGATTGGGGGGTTGCGGGTATTATGGGTTTGAGGTCATTCGGAGCTGCTCAAGGTGAGGTTAGATTTTGTCTACGGATACCGCTTACTCCCGAGACGGCTATGACTTTGTCACGTGATGTGGCGGATGCAGTGGCTGCGGGAATTTGGGGGGAAGACTTGGGACAGGACGACCGACTGGCGCTTGGGCTTCCAAGTTCCATCCATCCAAGTTGAAGTGGAACCCCGGCGCCTGGAAGTACATTGGTACCTCAATGAAAATTCCCATCTCATCGGGACCCGCTGTAAATTTGAACTCGGTTTTCACGACGACGACTGATATCAACATCCAAAGCTCAGCACATTATAAGTTACGCCAAAAAAGAAGGGGAAAATGCCTGCCAAAGTTTCGGGTGACGGCCTGAAGAGGAAACGAGTTCCCACGAAGGAGAAGTCAAAGAAGCGCGCGAAATCGGAATCCGAGTCTGAGTCGGAAGCAGAGAGCGATGAGAGCAACGACCCTCAGGCTGAGATCCTGCTGCTCGAAAATGAGATTTTGGAATCCAAGAAACACTACAACAACATCACAAAACTGATCCAGATCGCCGGAACTCAAGAGGATGAGCCCGAAGCCCCAACTCTGGCTTGTGTGGCCCTATGCAGAGTTTTTGTGAGATTGCTCTCGGCGGGAGCATTTGCCTTTAGGCCAGGACAGGCTGAGAAGGAGAAGGTGGTTGTGCAATGGCTGAGGGAGCGGTACCTCGAGTACAAGGGCGTTCTCGCTTCGCTTCTCGAGGAGGAAGATCTTGCGTCGACTGCGTTGACGCTGGCTATGAGGTGTCTCAAGGCCGAGGCTCAGTACTTCACCGAGAAGGAGGAGTACACATTCCCTCACGCCTTCATTGAGCAGATTGTGAGGGCCCTGTTGGCATCAGACAGTGATGACGTTCGCGTCGAGTTTGTCGAGAAATACTTGACAGAATACGACGACATTCGCTTCTTCACACTAAAGGCCGTCAAGTATGTATACTGGAGCATAAGAGACGTTTGAGGTTCACAAAACTGACGACTCACAGATCTATCGCGGAGAACCCTGGGTCTTTGCCGAAGGAGGAGGTGTTCGATGATGCTTTCGAGCTACTCTCATACATTGGGGACGTGCCGAAAGAATTAGGAAACTTTTACGCCGAAAAGCCCAAGAAGAAGTCGCACAACGTCAACTCTGTGCACCAGCACAAGAAGCAGGGCCAAGACGCCTGGCTAGCGGTTCTGAAGTTGGCGGCGACGCGGGAGCAGCGGAAGCAGATTCTGGACGTCATGTCCAAGGAGATTGCCCCGTGGTTCATCCGCCCAGAGTTGCTTGCCGATTTCCTGACGGATTCCTACGATGCGGGCGGCTCCATCTCGCTGCTCGCGCTTTCCGGTGTTTTTTACCTCATCCAGGAACGCAACCTCGACTACCCGTCATTCTACACCAAGCTCTACTCGCTCCTGGACCGGGACATCCTTCACTCCAAGTACCGCTCGAAATTCTTCCGGTTGATGGACACCTTCCTCAACTCAACCCATTTGCCCGCAGTACTGGTGGCGAGCTTCATCAAGAGGCTGGCGCGGCTCAGTCTGAATGCTCCCCCGAGCGCCATCGTCTTCATCGTGCCCTGGATGTACAACATTCTCAAGAGGCACCCTCTGTGCACGTTCATGCTGCACAGGGAAACGAGAGACCCGGCGATCAAGGCTCTCATGGAAACGCAGGGCGTGGAAGACCCATTCCTGGCAGACGAGGCCGATCCCATGGAGACGCACGCCATTGACAGCTGTCTGTGGGAGATTGTGCAGCTGCAGTCGCACTACCACCCCAACGTGGCGACGATTGCCAAGATCATGTCGGAGCAGTTCACCAAGCAGTCCTACAACATTGAGGACTTCCTCGACCACTCATACAGTAGTGTAAGTTGGCCCCCAGAGACCGAGATAGGTAGACCATGATAGGAACCTCCGGCTAACAATTGGTAAAGTTGCTCGAAGCCGAAATGGGCAAGCAAGTCAGAAAGCCGCCTGTGATCGAGTTCCAGATCCCCAAGAAGGTGTTCCTTCCAAATGAGCCAGAGTCCGGGGTCCAAGATAGCCTTGTGGCGAAGCTGTGGAACTTCCAGTAAGATCCAGTAATAGGAGAATGGATGAGCATGAGGTGGCAGGAGAAATGCCATCGAGGCCGAAAGATGGTATTTCCTTGTAAAAAGAAAAGATTGGTATTCTTGATATCCGGGCGCGGCATGGAGGCATGGGTGGTTCTTGAAAAGTTTAGACATCACAGGTAGACATTGTTGCTATCAAAACAAGGCGCTCTGTGAGCTGTATTGCTTTTCCATTATGTAAATGATTCTGCTTGCGACTAGCTGGTGAGCGATTGCATTTGGAGATTGCTAATCGTGAGTCAATAGCTGACTCGTTCGATCTACTACCGATATTATGCATGGAAGCGCGTATTTCGTGGTTGAAATGATCCGATAAAGGTGGTTGAGGAGCATGGTAAGTCATCCGAAGTTGAGGTTTGGTATACTTGGTTCAGTTGCCTTGGAAAGCTCATGGGTTGCCTATCCCTGAATCTGTGTAGAGTACTTCGCTCATCTCAATGGATAATAGTACAACTGCACAAACCCGTCATTTCAAAGTCAAACATGGAAGGCCTCTTCACAATTTGATGGGTAGAGATTTACGATTTGAGTTTGCAGAAAGTCATGTCGTGCAGTGGAAGTGCGCATTTGGAGATGTCCGCCTTGCCGAATTTCCGGTCTTCTCCAGCATAAATGTTCGTGCCGCTTTCCGATGAGGTGGGTGTCCTGGCATTTCAACTTTGCCATTAGAGCACGGCAATTATATCTCGATCCAAGTACCTTGTTTCCATCTCTCATTGACCTAGCTCCCGCTGCAGCCATTCCTTCATCCATGTGGCCACACCTTGAAAGAGCCATTCGATTTCAGACGAATTTTCAGTTCTCAGGCACACTCACTTACTCATCTTAGTGTGAGGTGGTGTGTAATGTACCTAAGTAGGATTTCTCCCACTTCGTTATCGCAGCTCTTGGTACCAGTAATACCTATGAAAACACAAGACACATGTGTCTGGCCCGATACGGCTCGAGGATCAGGTACCGTCCTGGAAATGGACCAACCAATGTCGAGAGGAATTCTCGGCGCCCCGACGTACAAGGCCAAAAAGTCAAGAGGTCGTGTGCTCAATTGCCGCAATCGATCGACAGGCTCAGCGGTGAGCCGAGCGCTGGTCGGAGCTCTATGAGGCGTTGGATTTGTTTAGTCGAGGCACCTAAGGTACTTGCCTATCAGTCGTCGCGCGACGGCCTGGAGACTTGTGGAGTGTCATGCGTCAGGGAAGGACGTGGGCAGTCGAGAACACCTGGAGAACAACGCGCTGAGCATTAAAGGTCTCGGTCCACTGTGGGGATGGACAACGACCAGCTGACAGCGAACAGCACTGTCCTCGCTGACTGCATGCCCTGTATTCAAGTGTTGGCTGATGGCTTGGAGGAGTGTGAGGACCTGGAGCTCCGATGCCTGCGCGTACCTGTGTACCCAGAAACAAGCCCCAGAAAAGAAGAAAAAGAGATCGGCCAGACTTTCCAGGCTTTTGGAGGTGGCCGCTGGTTGGCTAAATTTCGGAGGGGGCAAGCTCTCGGACCCCGCAGCGACCAATGACAAGTGACGGAAGCATCAAGGCGGGGTCTCATCCCAGGTGTGCCGTGCGTCTTGCTGTGCTGTGCGTGTGCTGGACGCAGTGGATGGCCGGATCTCCTCAAAGCGGCTTAGCATTTGAAAAGGCTCTCTCTCTCAGTCTCTGTTGCTCCACCTTCCACTGACATCACCGAGAGTAACCAACGGAACGGATGCATCGCTCTATCTCTCAAGTCTGGGCCGTTCCTTAGACTGTTTCTCGCCCTCTCCCCAATTCCAACACCATCGGCAGACTTTTCTTCCTCAGTCTCAGCCGCCTGATATCGGCGCTGCATCGCCTTCGTTAACAGCTTTACTGTCAATTGCTGCATAGTTTGAATCTCCCGACCTCCCTCTACCATCTCTTATCTTCACGTTCAAACAATACAGTGCATTCGACCCGATATTCGCGCTGCCACTTCTCCAACAGAGCTCGACCCACGCACCACGCCTACGCCCACTCAAAATAGAAAGCAGCTGAAATCTACCCCAGCTCGCCCGCAGTTCGTTTCGTGCTTCACGTGGAAACCATCCCCAGTCGCCACCAAAACACACCAGGAGTCGTCGACCCACGCCAAAGGTAGTCTGCCGTCTGCAGTCTGCTCGACGCCGACCTGCGGCACCCACCTTGGTCCGGTCTCTCTAGTAGTAGTCGGCACAAGCGCTGCAAGAGACGGTGTGACATATCGCCTTCAACATGTCTGGCAATCCCTTCCAGCCCTTGGCGGCTCATCTACAGACACCGACGTCCCGAAGACAGTCCAACACTCCTGGATCGAGCTCGACAGCACCGCCCCCGCCAGCAACACCCTCGAGCCATGCGAACGGGAATGATCAGAACGGACAGCAACCGCAGCCTCGTCGGCGAAAGAACCATCGCGGCGGTGCCAAGAAGAAGCGCAATCGGCGCAAGTCATTCGCCGTCCTCGCCGAGGAGTCTCATGACGAAGCTCCGCCAACGGCACCCGAGAGAGACGGCTTTTACCGCCAGCGCACGAATTTAAGCAACACGAGCATTGACAGCCAGGAACTCCTGGATCATAGGTGAGTCTTCGTGGTGCTTATTGCCAAGCGTGGTGCGGTCTAACTTACACAATGCAGAGATCAACCGCAGCCGCTCCGACCTCGCAGGCCTTCCATCATGAACAACTCGGCCCCCTTCCCCGCGACGACGACAACACCACAAACCGGCAGCAGACTTCGCAACGCATACGTGGGAGACAGTGGCGACGAGGACGGCTCGTGGGATGAGGGTGCCCCTCTCTTGTCAAGATCCATTCAGCGCTCCTCCACGGCACCCATGTTCCCTGGTTACGGTTCGAGCGATCCTCGCCAGCGAGTGAGTCGACGCGGATCCAGCAGATCCTCGAGGACGAAGCTTGCAACCCCATTCCAAGACAGCAACTATAATGTCAACTACCCACCATCCATGCCTGGGTCGCCCACCTTCCGACCATCCGACCCGCTGAATCTGAGCTTTGGGGATGTAATGATTCACGAAGACGAGATTGATATCCGTACCTCGCCGCGTGGAAGCCCAAGAAACAGCATAGGATCGCACTCCGACCGGGATGTTCATAACCACTCGTCGCCCGATCTAGCACGGAGGAACACCATTGCCTTGACGGCTGAGGAGGATGTTTGCTTCCCGAGCGGGATCTCGGAAATTGGTGACGAGGAAGGTCATTCCCAAGACCCAGCTGCCAAGCAGCGCCCGAGGCGTCGTCGCCGCCGCTGGCCCGACCTTGGTATCCTGGAAGAATGGAGTCGCTTCGAAAAGGAAGGACGCAGCGACGAGAGACGCGCCAAGCGGATCACCGAACCTCAGCTCATCAACGGCCGTCTACGACCGATTACTCGGGAGTGGTACCGTGCCGAGGAAGATGCTCCCTATCGTTTCACTTATTTCAACGAGGAATTCCAGAGCACCATCCACAGTCAGACAATCTCGGAACTTGTACAGCCCGGCGGTAACTTCCAAGAGTTATTCATCCCGGATCCGCGTATTCTCTCCGACGATGAGAGCACGGATAGTGAAGACGATGGTGGTTTGCCACCCCTATCTACACACCACTCTCACACTGGTCAGAACGGAGAGTCTAGAGCTCCCACAAGACAGCCATCACTCGCAAATACTCAATCTGAACAAGAGAGAAGAGAAGGCATCAAGTCTCCTGATAAAACTTCGGGTGGTAGCTCTCGTGCCGGTTCGATCCATCGCACGCCTACCGGCATCAGATCGCCGGTTGTTGGCAACCAGACGACCCAGACGCCAGAGCTGCTCGTCAACGCACCGAGGTTTGGCGAGCGACCTGTATGGTGGCTCGATGTACTCTCTCCAACGGAAGCGGAGATGAAGGTGCTGTCCAAGGCCTTTGGTATCCATCCGCTTACAGCTGAGGATATCATGGTCCAGGAGGCACGAGAAAAGGTGGAACTATTCCGCCACTACTATTTTGTCAACTACCGATCCTTTGACCAGGATCAGAACAGCGAGGACTACCTGGAACCCGTCAACATGTATGTCATTGTCTTCCGCGAGGGTGTTATTAGCTTCCACTTCTCCATGACGCCGCATCCCGCCAATGTCCGCCGCCGTATCCGTCAACTCAAGGACTACCTTATCGTCAACTCCGATTGGATTTCCTACGCAATCATTGACGACATTACTGATGTGTTTGTGCCATTGATTCAAAACATCGAGGATGAAGTCGACGACATTGATGATGAAATCTTGAGGCTGCATTCTTCTACAGGCAACTCCAAGAGCGATGTTTTTGACGAAAAGGCAAGCAACACAGGAACAACTGTGGGATCTGAAGGCGATATGCTTCGCCGAGTCGGCGACTGCCGTAAACGAGTGATGAGCTTGTATCGTCTGCTCGGCAACAAGGCAGACGTCATCAAGGGCTTTGCGAAGCGCTGCAACGAACGCTGGGATGTCGCTCCCAAGTCTGATATTGGATTGTACCTGGGCGATATTCAGGATCATATTGTGACCATGACGTCCAATCTCAGTCACTACGAAAAGTAAGTCATTCAGTCTTGAGGACCAATTTAACACAAGCTAACCGACTACCTATCTCCAGAATCCTTGCGCGATCTCACGGCAACTACCTGGCCCAAATCAACATTCGCATGAACGAGAGACAGGAGCAAACGGCCGACGTCCTCGGCAAGCTAACCGTACTGGGTACCATTGTTTTGCCCATGAACATTATCACTGGTCTGTGGGGCATGAACGTATGGGTTCCCGGCCAGGAGTACGAAGGGGACTTAAAATGGTTCTGGGCGATTACCGCGGGTCTTTTGGCATTCGGCATGGGTTGTTACCTGATTGCCAAGCGAGTTTACAACATTGTCTAAGGGGAAAGGAAGAAAAGCGAAAAGAAGGAACTACTCCTTTCAGGGACATATTGGGCCGTTGTTAATGGCGTTTGATGGAGTTGTTTTCTTTTGTTGAACTGAAAAAGCATACGTTTCGAGTCGTTTGTTGGTTTAGATTGATCGGTGCATTCACGGATGGTAAACGGGACAATTTGTAATGTACACCGGTCGTTTTGATAATGTCAAATTCTGTTTTTTTTGTTTCAGTGGTTTATCTATCTGGTGACGGGGAAATGAGGGTGACTTGAATGAGATGGATGGAAACTTATGTGGTTGAGCTTGAAGCCAGCTGATGCTAAGCATGTAAGGCTGGCAGTGCGGACACTTCAATTGGGCCTTATCACTTGCGTATAGACCCCAGACGAACTCACAGGGTATTTTCCGTGATTAAGAGTTGAATCCGGGAGCGACTATCGAGTTCCTTGCCTGCCACTGTTGTAATGCCGGCTCTAGACAACGTCACCATGGGTGCTCGTCAATGGCAATAGGCTACCGAGACATGGGAGATGCCCCTGACGTTGTTGCCAGAACTTTCTTCCTCCAGCTGGACGAGAGAATACAATCAGCCAATATTTGTTGGTGTTCACATCTCTCGGCGCAGCCTGCATGGCATTGCATCAGGGCGCAGGGCCTGGGGAGAAGGAAAGGGGATTTTTGGCTGGGGACGAAGGCGCCCGTTTACCATTTGAATTGGAAATTTACGCCCATGATGTCAGGTTCGTCAGCGGACACCTATCACCTACCTTACCTTACTTTGGGCTAGACGCAGCCTGATGGTGAAGTGGAAGAAAGCTGCGTGTCCAGGGGATCTGGATGGGTGGTGTGTGTCGAAGGATTGATGACCTAAACTGGGGGCAAGGCCAATCATCGTGATGCACGATGCAAAGCAAGCCCGGGGAAAGGGAAGGGGAAAGCAGGAGCTGCAACGAATGATGGGAGCACAATTGTGCTCTTTCTCTCTGTTTGAGCCGTTGGGTTTCGCATGGGCCTGCCTCTTTGGGTTTGATATTTAAGCACCGGAAAGTTGGGATCCATGATCTTTGCTTCTTGACTTCTTATTCCCATCCTTTCTATGTTCATGTCTTGCGATAGATCAACGCCCTTCTCTGTAACGACGACGACGACGACAGCAACACCAAAGACCCGCCGACGAACACTCACTACAGGCACTACACGCCTGATCGTATACGTGGACCCTGTGCCCCTGGACAGGGAATCGTGGATGACCGTTGGATGCCCTGGAATTTCCCAAACTTGGATTCTGTCTGGATAATCTCAAACGTGGACTACCCTTATCGTGGATTCCTTCTACCGTGGACTCATCCTATCGTGGACTCCCTTTTTCAGGTCTCATCAAGTCCGTTGACTTGCCTACATGCTAATTTGTACTTTGAACGGACAAATCGCCGTGGAATTCATCGTGGCCCTAAACCTCCCACAGGTTTTGGTCGGCGAGGACTACCGATTCGTGGACGCATTATCAGCCAGAAGTACCACATCTACTGCTGCCCTGCGGATAATACCAGTCTATGAGAAGACATTTCTGTTTGCCTCGGACTTTTACCTCATCGTGGATTACCTTTCGCTCAACTTCCGGGATCTATGCCCTCAACCAAAAGCTGTTCACCTGCCTTGGCCAATTCAATAGCGACTCTGGTTCTTACCAACTCTGCTACGTCTAACAAACATCAGGACGCAGTGCTCTTAGGTTATTCTGCAACGAAACTGGCAGCAGCTAGTCGACAGCTCGGCGACCTTGGGTCTGTCACCCCTGGCCAAAACCACACAAGCCCAATGGATCATTTGATACGTCCAAAAGCAGAACTTCCGCGTCCATCGCGAGATACGTTACACGACAAGAAGATTACGAAGTTCCATGATAACATTGACCGTGCGGATCGCCTTCAGATCAACGCACCTCATCTAAACTCCGAGAAGTCCGGCACCAGGCTATTACCACAACCGAACTTCCAGTCAATAACCCGTTCTGATGAACCCAGGTTCCGAACAGAACGCTTGGTTGACTGTGGCAGATATACAACGGAAGCGCTGCCTCCTGCCACGGTGTTCCACTCGGAAGCTTTCCTCGAGTTTGTCCATTGTGGGCTGCACTCTACCCAGAGGGCCTCCCGCCCCAGAACTACGGGCCAGCGTGCCTTTCCTCCAGAGATCAGGTCTTGCGGAAAGCCTGGAATTACGCGCCGTTACCTGGTCGTTCAGGATCGAAATCTTGGATTTGTTCCCGGAAAGACCGGTCGGAAGACCTCACTCATCCCCTTCGTTGGAGTTCCCAAAGAGAACTCGGCCGGGGGAGATATAGTCATCAAGCGACGAGATGCCTCTTCATCGATCCCCATCGGAACCCGAAGGCTTCACGTTTCCAGACCTCGGAATTATTATCGGGATATAAGCCTGGCCTTTTCTCAAGTTGCAGACAGGACTGACTTCCAAAGAAGGGCTTTGAGCACATTGTCGACAGGATATCAATGGCTCTAAGCGAAGTCTCTTGAAACCTGCAGAGGCCTGGTATTCTATCTGCAGTGGTTACTTGAGTCTGATGCTCAGCCTTTTAACTGGTCTGGTCGCTGGAAACTTGGCTCAGATATGGAAAACATGTCTTGCCCATCGCCTTCACGACAAGAAACAAAGACAGGCCCGACCTGCAATACATGCCAATATAGTCGCGAAACCAGCGAGGAAAAGCCCTCAGAACGCCAGAGTGGAAACAGAAGCTCGCCAAGTCATCGCAAAAGAGGCGTTTGCCAGCATGAAACCAATGGCCAGGATCATAGTGACGACGACGAAGTCCCGGATGAGTCCAGAAGGAAGAAATCGCGAATCCAAAGTTCAACGATTGACAAGAATGATAATGGTCTCAGCTTGGCCTGTCCATTCTACAAGGCAGACAAACGTACCCACAACCGGTGCTCTTTACTACAGCTGAATAGGATCAGAGATGTGAAGCAGCATCTGTATCGGAAACACATGCAGCCTCACTACTGCTCTAGGTGCGGTCGACAATTCGAGACACAGACTGAGGAGAGGTGTCACACAAGACAACAAGACTGCAGCAAGCGAGCCAACCAACCGCCCGACGGCATCACTCATGACCAGCAGAAGGAGCTCAAGGAGAGGGTAGACCGCAAGCTCGCCGTGAAGGAGCAGTGGTTCGCTGTCTGGGCCATCGTATTCCCCGGTATACCTCCACCAGACTCACCCTATGTTTACAGCCCTACCCGTGAGGTGGCAACAAATATGCGAAACTACTGGCAGGAAACCAAAGCGGAGATGCTTGTCGACCATGCTGATGGCATGCCGGGCATTGCCAGGGAACAGATGATTAGCGGTTTGAATACGTTCATGGAAACCTTCTTCAATCGGTTCATCGAGGAACACAGCTCAGGTGCCGAGGGAGAGCAAGTTTCGGATTCATCCTCGGATGGTAGCCCAGGTAATCCGGTTCCAAAGATGTCGAGGCCTTTCTCTAGATAAGAGACTTACGCGGATCTACAGGAACAGCATTTTCCTCTAGGAGGTTGCCGGCTATCACATCACCAAGCAGAAGTCAAAGGACCTTATTCGAATCTTTTCGCGACCTGCTTTCCGTCATGAGTGGTGCCGCCAGCGACCATGTCATGGTAGACGACGGTCCGCTTATCGCCGACTATTCAGTGGCCATGGGGGAAACGGACGGGCAATGGGGGTTTTCGTCTAGTGATGATGCTTATGGTTGGGATCAGTTCCCCGCGAGTGGCCCGTTCTTCCATGGTGATCCTCCTACTTGAGAAACAATTCGAGGTGTGTCTGTCGAAAGTGACTTGGAAACCCTAGAAATACCACAACAACTAACAGCCCTCCCCAACAGATAGTACCCTTACTACGACAGTAATCTCATGGCAAAGCCATGTGGACGCGTAGCAAAGAGCCAAAGAGTCAGACGGGGTCAATCGTGGAATACAGGACATGGTGACTTTGACCTAGAAGTGATGCTATTGATTTTCTCACTCTTCCCATGATTTTGATAGTTCTTCTCCTAATGTTTCTAGAAGTTGGTGGCTCTTGTCTGTAATATCGGAATTCCTCGGACGAAGCGAAATGAAACTGAGTTTCGGAAAAGACTTGGACTATGCATCCATCATACATCCATGTAAGGTAGTCCGGCAATACAGTGATGACTCCATGTCACAAGAATGGAATGACTATCATCAACTATGTCAAATGACATACTACGCTTTACGGTTGTGCTAAATAACTTGAACGAATTATGCTTTGTACTTTGGCACAAGTTCAGTTGCCGGTATGTTGTTACAGACTGTGAAATTCTTGTAGGATTGATCAAGAAAAGGTCTTCAAGATGTCAAGCTGCCTCCATCATATACAATGCGTGTCTCCTTATCTTGGCTTGACCGCGAGATATAATCTCTATAAACTGCAATAGGCTTGGTGAGTTACGTTCGGGGATTATCATAGAGAGGAAGCATCCAAAGTTGCTTTACTGATTTACAACTCATGATATCTTTGAAGGCAATGCTCTTGAGCGCAGACAGACGGGCAGGCACCAGAAATTCTACAGGCAGAAGTTGCACATAGGCAGCAAGCCAGCTACGTACGCGGTGATCGGAAACCGGCAGCTGCTCATCTGAATTAATTTACCTGCCTACCAGAGATGCCTCGGCTCCCATATCAGACCTCATTATGAGACGTTCACGGGGGGAAAAAAAGGAGGTCACGCAATTTTCGAGACTCTCGACAGTGAATCCGGCTGGAGCAACAGACAGGAAATTAACTTCCATCAACCTTTTCCGCAGCACTCTGATCCGACGAGGGGCAGAAAATTTTAACACTTACACGCACGCTTCAAAGTTAGAATGAAGTCATCTAGTCAGGTCACCGTCACCTCCCTTTTCCCCCGCTCCCCCTTGGGAATCAAGTCAAAATTACTATCAGATCAAAACTCAATTCACTCGACTATAGAGTTCTTGGCAAGGATCCGGAAAAAGTAAGGCGATTTGCGGGAAAGGGGAAAGGGCCAGAAAGTTAACCCTGAGATTGTGTCATTACAACCACATAGGGCCAACCCCGGAAGGACCGATATCGTCTGAAGTCTTCTCAAACAGCAGAAGATGGAGAAAAGGACTCATGTGTACGCGACAATGGTATCGTGTAAAGTCAAAGAGCGAGGAAAGAGAAGAGACCGACCGCGACAGCCTCGCGATCTGAGGGCCAACGGTCTGCTAGGATGACGGTCCCATGTTTTTTGAGCGGCGCTTCGACTGACAGAGCCCCGAGTTTCAGGAAGAAGTCATGGAAGGAAAAGAGAAAGAAGAAGAAAAAGTGAAAAGTACTAAACAGATGGGATTGAGAAAAAAAAAAAAGACCCGTCGGGCTGAAGCAGCCCGCCCATCTGGGAAACGTCGGACGCCAAGGTTTTGGTTTCTGCTCTGTCCGTGGGAACCCCCGGTCTCTCTCTGCCCAGGCACTTTGTCCCTCCACACCCCACTCGGGGACGCAACCACTTCCAGTCTCTGTTGGGGCTCAACTACCGCCCTCCACTGCCCTGCGCCATTGAGGCTTCGGATGATCGAGATCAGTGCCTTGCGCGTGCCATTCTGAGAGAGGGATCGCGGGCATCAACAAGTTGATTCGGGAAGTCTGGAAACTCAATCACTTGACAGTCGTCGAGGTTACACTCGCGCGGGGATGGCTATCGACGAGGGCGATAAGACAAGTTGATAACCGGGCACGCTGAAAAGTATTCCCAGGCAAGGCGAAAGTTTGGAGATTGGGCGAAACGCCAAGGACAGGGCGACGATGGAGTCGAATCATGGAGGTGGGAGGAGATGGGGAAAGGACACAACCTACCCAGCAGTGAGAGGAGGGATTTCCCGACCAACAATCGGGGCTTTCAAAATCCACGATAGGCGTGGTGTGCGAACCAGGCCGAGGAGGGTGCAGAGCCAGGGATGTGGTGTGCAACGGAAGTAAACCCGTCCCGACCTTGTCTGAATAGCGTGCAGTAAAGACCAAACTTGCGCCTCCAAGAACGACGGGATCTTGATAGAACCTGGCTGAGCCTGCATTCTGCGGCCAGTCAATTGGTCTCGCACATATGGTGGGAGGGGGCTGTTGCTCAAGCCCGCCCAGCTGCAGCATAGACGCAGTTGCTGGCATGTCTTGTAGCTCGATTGCGCGAGCTTGGAGAGGGTTACAAACTCTCACCGTACCAGCCGTCGGAAGCCCCGGCCGTCTTAGCTCGGCGCAATGCCATTGGCCTTCGACTTCTGGTCTATTTTCTGCTTTTCCTGTTATTTGGTGTAGGATGTCGGCGTGAGCATGGTATCAATCGTAGATTCCGGTTTTCGAGGCCGCAACACTACTCAACATCCGTGAAGATACAAGGTGACTAGGATGAGACGAATAGGGTAATGAATCTCCTCCTTGACGTATCTGTTCCAAGCATTTTGATATCAGAGAATGCTTCGAGGCAAAACCAGCAAGCGTCACTGACTGGCTGGCAAGCGTTGTTCTATTTTAATTTCAGGTTTGACGGGGAAACCTAGGTGTTCTGCGGTGAAATTGGAAGGCTGTTGGCCGATCAGTAGAAACATGGAGAGAGTTACCCAAAAGCTCGGGCCCCAAGACCCTTCCTTCCTTCGATGCGCTTGTCACCGTCTGGTGGTGGTGGTGTGTGTGTGTGTGTGTGTGTGTGTGCGCGCGCGCGTGTGTAAAAGGCGAGTGTGACTTGTCGACCCCAAGTGCAGGCTGGTACTGGTATTGCTAACCCGGCAAGCATGGAGATATCAGACATGGTATCGAAAGAAAGTAGCAACCCCGCGCCAGTTTGAAGGAATACAAAGCTGGTGCAACCTTGTGCCTTCATAGTCTTCCACCAAGATAGGCGCAACGTTTTTGATACGGGGAGGCAGAAGATATTAGAGAACGTTGGAGATGAACAGAAAAATCTGAAAGGAATAGAAGAGTTCCCAGAAAGATACAATTGGGGTCCCTTGACCGTTGATTGTGAGACTCAGTGCAGGCGAATCAAACCCGATTTACAGGCTGGTATGCGGTGTCGTGGAACGGGGCACGGATTGTACAAGAGTGAGCGGATAAGACTTCACGGCCTTGTGGAGGCAACTTGGCCCCGTCGAGTATCCGTACTTCGTACACACGTCCACGTATCTGTTGTGCGCGTACCGTAAGCCATCGATCCGCGTCATGTGTGCAGCTGTGATTGAGGCGCAGCACAACGATGCAATATGGAATCCGCGGGAGTTGACGACTAGAGCTGAAGACTAACGCTTTATGCGGCAGTCTGGCAGCCAAGTTGATATTCCGGACTCTCGGTTGTAAGTGGACCTTGCAGGCTCGCAGTACTGTGACGGCCCACCCCAAGGTCGGGCTGGGCAAAAGTTGACAACGTGGAGCACTGAAGAGGAAGAGGCGGTGGGACGGGCATGATCCTCGCTGCCCTTTGGCGTCCAACCCAAGTGACTGTGTGTCTCGGCCTTCAGGGTCCATTGTCGAGATGCTGTTCGGTCCTCATGGCTTTTGAGGATCGAGGATCAGATGAAAGATGCTGTCTGACTGTGTTTGAGGCGCTGTGCCAGAATTTCCATGAGTCGCAGCGCAGTCCCGCTCCCGCGAGACAGACAAACCACATGAGGTACTGACCGAGGGAATCGACGTTCGGGATCGGAAAGGGCAGTCATGATTGACTGCCTGCTTGAATGATGAGAGGCAGTCAAGTTTCAGACTGAACCACTGTTCCGCTTCCTCGACGCACGCCTCCCATGCGGCCGCATCTTGCTCAGCAAAATCGCTGGCCAGTGGGAAGGAAGGCCGTGTATGTCGTACGGCGAAGGTGGGAGCTTGTAGTAGCATCGATTTAAAGCCAGAGAAACAAAGCGGCGGAATGGGGATGACGAAAGCCCGTCGTGCCCGGCTGGTAGCGACCTCGCTGATTTGCATGTACGAAGTCCCAAACAGGCGCGTACAGTAGGTACAGATACCGTGTACCGTGCTACGTAGGTAGTCGAAGGTGTGCGGTTGTCTTCAATAGTGACAGCAGAGTAATGGCTGGCCGGGTGTCGATCCTGGTTGGGCGCAGTGGCAGTGGTGGCTGATCGGGTCTTGTCGTCCGTCTACAAGCTTGCAGGACTAAGGCTAAGGTTTTCTTGGATGGAACCTCGTAACTGTGCTGGGGTTGGACGGGTTGGACGGGTGGGATGGTTGATGAGGGGCGAAACGCGTAATGGCGCGGGCTTGAGGAATTCCCCTCCACCTGAGCAACCCTCTTATTGCCAATGGTTGAGAGTCCGTTGATTGACCTGTGCTTGTCTTGCGTCTGATCCTAAAAGGTACACGCACGCGGTTTGGAGTCTTAGGGCAACACATGTCAAGCTCGAGTTCCAGGCCAGGAACGTGCTTGGGGAGGTTGTGACAGGTTGTGGGAGGTGGGCGTGAGACGGCAAAGGTGGAAAAGACTGGTGGAGGTCGACGAGAGGCGGGCAATAATGATTGGAACTTGAGATGGAATGCAAGGCCAGGCCTTTGATTTCCTCTGCGTCGATTCGCGGCCAGTTGCAATTGCAACTTGTGCCAGGCGGGCTGCTGTGTTCCCAGCAAGACCGGCACGGCGGGGGAGGGACTTTTTCGAATGTTGGCGACGTTGGCGCATTGCATCCGAGCAGTGCTCGATACCGGCCATCTTTCTAGGTGCCATCTTCTGACTCCATAGATCCTGGCCCCTTGTCAACTGGAAGACAGGTCAGAAAGGTTTGATATCGCTGCCCGCGGTCACCTGTCATTCGATGGAAAGCTCGGCATTTGCGAACAGGGTGCGGCCGAGGCAGGCAGGGCTGTACGGAGCCGTGTATCTGTTCGAAGTACAGCTTCTATCCCATGCTCGGAGAGAACATTGAGAAGGGAGTGTCGTAGGTACGTTGTGTGGTTGTGTTAGTTGCTAGGCCGCATCCCTTGATAGGCATTCCCTGTATGCCTACCTACGTACGGTACTAAAGGTACATGGCTACCTTTCTTAGGTATTTTCATGAGGCCACGCCATAAACGGACCTTGGGAAAGAAAGATCCCCGAACTCAAAAAAATTTCCTCACTCTTTCCTTCCCTTACCGTCCAGTAAGTGCGGGACCCATCGGCGCCGACCTTCTCTAAAGCTTCGTACGACTATGAAGTACCTTCCCTACTAAGTACCTGAGGTACGGATACCTGATGGCAGGAAGCTACGGGTATCCGTGAGAGAAGGGCCATAAGGTACGATAGGTACCACCGGAGCTTCTTCTTCTTCTTCTTATTATTGCCATGCCATGTCGTGACAGGCCAGACCAGGACAGGCCACACCTTTACGTTTTAGTCGTCGAGATCATCATCGACTTGTCACTGCACACCACCTTGTTCAGCTGGTCTTCCCTCCAGTCACGCACACGCGCACTCACACACTCTGTCGCCGGCTCTTTCTTCGTTGGCCCGTCTGAGTTGGAGGCTCGTATAGATACCCTAGGTCTCCCGCCACGCTTTTGCGTTGGACTCTATTCATTTGTATGTTTTCGGCCTTGTTGCACCGCCAAAAGGTCTCGCCCAATTCACTCACGTCTACACTTGACGACGTATTAATCCACCTCGTTGCCTCAACACCTGCAGGGTTACAGTGAATCACCTTTTTACACTCGCTGCCTAAGACCACGCACACCGGCATCTCGCTATACCTTATCACTTGACACCTCGACCTTTTATCGCTAATCAGTCGTTGTCATTGAGTCGACCTGGCTTTGGACGCTATCGACGCCCTTCCAATTTCCGGAGCACCATCTATAATAAGGCAATTTGATAAAGCCTCACTGTTCGGAGAGATCCGACAAGCGACCCGTCCACGTCCGGGATATTCAAAGTAGCAAGGGGCCATTGAAGGGAACCAGGTACGCACAGAGGCAGAAATTTCTTTTGGGCCCCCGTGGCCGCCCATCATCTGCAAGCAGCGGTCTGCTGCGGCGCCAGGACGTGCCACGATGCATGGCGCTGCGACGTGGGATGAAGAAGACACTGACCCTATCGTCCATATTGATGCAACACAGATTGGCTGACATTGGAACAGCGAGTAGAAACGCGGACTCGAGCACGTAAAACGCACGACGCGGAGCGAAGATCAAAATTCGTGTTCTCCGACCGGACAAATTGGTCCAGGAAGCATAGGAGCTGAGAAGCATCCCCCAAACGACAATTTCTCTCCATCTAGTTCATTGCATTCCAGGACGCATTAGGCCAAGGGCCGAAAGGGAAGGGCCGAGAAAGACAAGAAAAAAAAGAAGCAAATTAAAGGAAAGGGGAAAAAGACACCGCTGTATCCCGCCATACCGTACCTTAAGCTACCACGCGAAGGCGCTTTGAAACACGCGAGGATTACCGCCGCTTGACGTCAGCCACAGCCAGATAGTCTCCAGACAGACAAACCGACGACGACGACAGGGGCGAAATTGGCCATTCGGAAACGACAGCATTTCGCATTGCTCTGCACCGCCATTAGCATTGCCCATCCAGTTCCACCACGCACATCAAGCGAAGGATCGACGGCCTCCACGTCCTAGCCCTTCCGGGCCCACCACCAACCGCCTGCAAACGCGCCAACTACGTCGCATTCGATCATCGATCAACAGGCAATATCAAACATAATACCCAGTTTACTCATATTTCGTTACGAAACGTCCGAAGCAGGCTGCAGAACGTCAAATTCGGAAGCAGCTGCTTGATTGACCTCGAAGGACCCTCCCGTGATACACCTACCTACGGGTACGTACTTTTGTCAGTAAAAACCTTCTTACCTAAGGCTCAGGTCGATGGGGACCCTGCCAGTTTTTCCAGCACCCTGCTGCAACTGCCGGTGACACTCAAAAAGAAGGAAAGAGCCACAGAACTAACACACAAAAAGGCAAGAACCACAGCCGACCAAGCAACATCAGAAAGGTCTTTGATATCGGAACACACGTCGATTCTTCAACTTGGGCAGAAAAAGCTGGCAGCAAAAAGCAGGAGATTTATTAGCCGGCGGAAAAAGAAACCTGACGGCAGAATCACATCACCAAGACACTCAATAACAAGCAGGAGGCGCTTGCCGTCTGGGCAGACCCGGTTTACAGCACCAGGACAGCACTTGCTTGCCCCGGCGTCCCTGAGCGTCCCAGCCCCCCAGTCACCACTTTTTCCCCTACGTCGCCGGACCTGACTCCAGCGTCCGACCACCCCATCGAAAAAGACGTGGCGCTTAACCCATTGCGGCCACCCTCCTTCCCTGTAACGCCTCCAATTCAAATCGCCCTAGCGCATTTTCAGCAAACATCCTGGCGTCGCTCGCCCGAAGTTGCCCCCCAATCCCATCAGAAATCCATCTGAGAGTTGAGACTTGAGAGAGCGCGAGAGTCAGACTCAGACTCCCTCCCGTTTTTTCCCTCTTGCTTCTGTTGCAGCTAGGTACATCAAGCTTGCAGCAATATCTACTACGTACTCCGTACCAAGTATCGAAACATCGGCCAAAAAAAAAGACCAAGGTACGTACTGAATTGTCCGTGAGCACCTTCCATTGCACCAACACCTGCACCTGCACCTGCAACTGTTCCCGTTCCCGTACCCTCAGCTGGGGTTTGTCGTTGTCATTGGGTTTTTTTTTCGCCGTCTCATTGGATCGCCGTTGTCGTCGGGTTGCCTGGCCGTTCCTTCCAGCTCGGCACCACAACCACACCGCAGTCCACCTGGGCAGCTTCATCGGCTGGGAGTTGTTGCCGTTGCCGTTCATACCAAGTCAAGTGCCTTCCAGGTTGTCGACTCAACCTCCCCCCCAGCCACATTCGAGACACCCGGTTCCCTGCTTTTCTGCCTCCTTGCGACAGCATCTGAGAAAGAAAGAAAAGACATCTCCCAAGCACACAAGCACCTCATCCTGCTCTCGACCTGCTTGTTCTCCATCCCCGAAGATTTGCTTCTCATACAAACACGCATCGTCAACAAGTGGAACACTGGAAACAGCCCGGTCCACGGGTACACTATTCTCTGCTAGTTTCTGCATCCACTTTCAATCCCAGCAGTCGGCAGAAACACCACACTCAGGCATACCGCACACCCCAAACCCCCTTCCCTTCCACTGTTCTGCCCCTTCTAACGCTCCACCGCGCTCCATCATCTCACGCTCACCCCTGGAAAACGCAACCTTGGCCGCCTCGCTAGCGACCTCTGGGAACCGCCCGCCCACTCTTCCCCTTGCTGACCCGCGATAAGGCACGCAATAGCTCCATCCATCGACCTTGCTCGCCGAGACCAGGTCCGCGCCCACTGAACCCGCCTGCTTGCGAGACAGATCAATTAAAAGTAGCACCCTCCCCAGTTGCCCGTCATGGCTGAACACCATCCACTTCCCGCGCTGCCTCCCCAGCACCAGCAACCGAATCACCACTATCACCAACAAGGTCCCGACTCATACGACAACGAACAGTCCCAGTTCCCGCCTTATCAGCAGCATTACGACCAGCCCCAGCCTGTTCAACCGCCTCCCAACGCCCAGGCGCAGTCCCAATCCCAGAATCAACCTCCTCACAGACGCTCCAAGTCCCGGCCGAGAACCTTCAGTTTCCAGTCCAACAAATCCCACAAGAGCTCCGGCAGTCACCCCAAGATCGACCTCCACGAGACACCCGAAGAGAAGGAAGCAAAGAGATTGCACAGCAAAGCTGATCCTACCGTCGCTATGAGTGAGGCCGAACCTTGTATGTTACCACACTTCTGTCACGTCTACTGTAAGGTATCTAACAGCTTCCAAAGCCGCCGTCCAGGCAATGACCAAGACTTCCTTGGCTCCTTTGCGCGCTATTCAACACAAGGACACCACCGGCGCCCCGATTGGTATGCTCCAGCCCTGAATTCTTAAACCTGGTCGATTTATTCTAACCACGCTCCTCAGCCGAACCCGACCGATCTAATCCCACACGCAGCCGTTGGGAAAGACCCCTTGACACGATTCGCAGTTTCGAGGCCGCCATTGATGGGGGCTACCGTGACCGGGACCGGCGACAGTCTTATATTCGCTCAGATACAGAGTCGGTACAAACATGGAATAGACGCAGCAGTTACTATGCCAGTAAGTTTATCTGCTCAGAGGCTGTCTGCACAACGTGCTAATCCAATATATAGCCAGTGGAGGACGCCATCCCCATGACAGCTACTACAACGGCCGACCGGGCTCGTTCCGCCCCGAAAGCGGCCAGATCGAGATGGGGTCCAATAGACAGAGTTACTACGATCAATACCAGAATGGCGGAGGACATTACAATGGCGGCAACAACATTCCCTACCGACAGAGAGTTCCGAGGACGCAAACCGATCCCCACATGAACGGCTACGCACGCGGTGATCAGAACATTTATCCCCTTCCCAACAAGGACCGCTCGTACGAGACTGTCACATCAGCCGCCGCAAGTGGAAGCTCCGGAGAGCACGCAGGCTACCATACCGACCCGACTAGTAGCGACAACAGCTCCATTGAGCGTGGTGGCCAGGGCCGTAGGCCTGAACCCACCAACGATTACGGCATTGGCTTCAGCCAGGACCAAGGGTACCAGGCGTCTGCTCTGAAGTTTGATAATGGTGCGCCGAATGGAAAAGGACACGCCTATCAAGCTGTGAACAATGGAGCTCAGGTATCTCAGCAACAGAGCGCAAACGTCCTTCGGAGACCAGTTGGCGCCTCCGCACCGCAACAGCAGCAACAGGCGCAGCCTAGACCTGCTGAGCCGGCCAAGAGAAAGAGCTGGTTTTCTAAACGCTTCAGCAAATCATCTTGAACAACACAAGGCATGAGATATGAGCTGGTTTTCGTTTTGACGTTGTCGATACCCCCCATTTTCTTAGATTCTGGATGCGTTATGGTATTCTCGGGCAGAGATCGGCTTATACCTAAAATGTAGCTGGTCTGGAGTTGCCGGAGTACCTTTCTACCCTGACGAGACGGCCGTTCCTACTTTGAGGTGGGCCATTAACTTGAGAGTATAGCCGGGAGGTATGGCTATCTATTTTCTGATTAAAAAAAAAACAACAACGAAATACACCTTGTTGGATCTAGGTATATGCACAGGATCCAGTGAACGATTGCGAGGGGGCAAAGGCGGCAGCCATAGAGGCTTGATGGTGACTTGACAATGTTTCACAATGCTTGGGGATGACTTGGCGGTTCAGGCGTTGGAAATTTTAATAGGGCTTCGTTATAATGCTGACGTGGCTTCCATATAAGTCAGGTCTTAGAAAAAGACCAAGTCAATGAAATACAATCTGAATACAGATAAAGTTGCCATCAACGGCGTAACACATCTGATGAGAGGGATGTATGACACGACTTTCATTCCTACGGAAACTGTGAAATGCATTCCAGGCTGCCATCACAGGCACCAAGGTATCGATTAACTGCCCATCCCAACTCTTAACGGTCTTTCTTTCCTTGCTTCTTCGCTTCCAGCTGGTCGCTCTGATCCTCCTTCATGGCAACGATAACATAACTGATCAATACCACGTTGGCCATTACAGCAGCAAGAGCGCCAGCAAATGTCGAATTGCCTGGTAATCATGTTAATCGGGCGTGCCCAGTTGTGGTTGGCAGTGTCATGGAACGAGTCGGAAACACGAGTGCAGCTTACTCACCCTTGAAAAGGAAGTCGACCGTGGCAAAGTAGGTGCCGATGGGCAATACAATCATGGCCAGCGTGAATCCAAGAAGCTTCAAGATGACGTCCATTGGTACAGCTGGAGTGATGTTGGACTTGTCGCCAGCAGCGGGACTCGAACCAACCACATCATCCTTCTCGAGGATGGTCTTCTCCGAGGCCACGATGCGTCGGGTCGCCATGAGGTGTATCTTGAGCAAGGTGTAAGCGTATGGTCTTATGTAGCTTGTGCTAAGAGGCAGGAAACTTACAAGGTGCTGAAATGCGACGTTGAAATAGACTCGTTGTCAATGAGGACGTTACGGAAGACACGGAGTTGATGGACGTTGGTTGGGGGTTATGAGTTTGATGGTCCCGCTCACTGAGCCTTGCTGCTATAGCTCCCCTCAAAACGAGACGTGAGGTCAAAAGACAGCGCTTACAGTTCGAAGCGACGATTGCCCGCACGGTGTTTTAATTGATGACGCCAACCACGTGCGGACGCGCTATGGGGATTCGTCTAAGCGCGTTTCTTTGGATTCCCGTGTCAACGGACATGGGGGGGCGTTGCGATCTGCCCCAGAAAATTCCCACTTCAGTGCCGCCGTCGGTTCAGAATCAATCTCGTCCTCTCCTGCCAGCCTGCTCAGGAGCGCCCACATCTTGGAAGGCGGCACGGATACTTGCAATTGCCCAATTTGTTGCTCTTTCCCCTTGCGATTTCTCTTGGTTTAGCGTTAATTATCTCGCACAGCCTTTCGACAATCGGCATCTTCACAGCAGCAATGCCCTCGAGTCCTTCTCTCCTTTGAGCAAACTTCTCCCCGCCTTTGTATTTCGACCATTGTCCGCCTTCTCGCCTCCGCTTGTCAACTTCTCAATTCCACCTCACTCCCAACAAGCAATAAACACATCTATACGAGCTATGGTGATCAACTATACCCTCAGCTCCTCACCGCCGCCGGTGGGCAGCTCGGCAATGGGCACGTCACCGATCAGAGACATTCGTCGCGGTAACGACGCCGACGAGCTTGCCGACGAGACAATTCCCGAGTCCCCGTACCAGACACAAGCGACGCAGATTGTCAACCGAACGTCACTCGCGTCTCAAGCCAAGCCGCAACCCGATACTTCTTCCTCCCCCTCTTCGCGTTCAGTCATTGAGGTTCCCGCATCCTCGCCGTTCCAGAACAAATCCAGCTACTTCTCACGCCTTGTGCCTCCCGGCTCACGATTTCAGCCACCCCCAAAGTCACAAGCGCCTTCCAACCCGCGGAAGAGGCCCTCGGCGGAGCCTGTGCTCATACAAGGCTCGTCAGATGACGAAGATGACCGAACGTCCCGTGGCAACATCAGCCAGACATCTTTCAAGAAGCACGTTGCAAACTTCGAGTACGTTTCGGTGGATAAGCTGCAAAAGAAGATTGAAGAGGTTTCTGAGGCACTCAACGGCACGATACCGGTTCAATACTATAAGGAAGCTTTGACCGCATGCCACAATAACGTTGAGGACGCGATCAACTACCTGTTGGACGGTCGGCATCTGAAGCCCAAAGTCAACAGCTTTGTGAGCTCAACCAAGCCAAGCAACACCGTTGGCGACGAAAGAACAAAGACCGTGGACCGCAAATCAGGCAGGCCTGGCTCACCCAGCAAGCCAAAATTGCTTGGACGACATGCCCCGACACTACCTACGCCTTCTCGAAGCACCACCCCCTCACCACCAAAGCCCAAGCGCAGGCGCTTGATGCAAGGTCGTCGCCCCGGTAGATCTCCACCTGCATCACAGCAGCCTCACGAAGACGAGCCGTCCCTGGACGAGCTTGCCGCCGACAAGGTGGACGAGCCTATCATCATTCCCGATGACAACGAAGACGAGGATTTTGATAACGAAGATGAATTGAACGAGGCAGTCAAGGACAGCCTGCAGGACAAAGCCCTCCAAGCCATCAACACTAGCTCGATCGCGGATTTGTCGGCCATGACGAACATCAAGATGGACGAGCTAAAGATCATTGAGACCAAGAGACCTTTCGACACCATCAGTGAGGTGCAAGCCGTCTCGGTTGCAAAGAAGGCGAACGCTCGCAGTAGGAGGCCCAAGGTTCCAATTGGAGAGACCCTGGTCGACGCAATTATGGAGTTCACTCGTAGCGTCAATGCCATTGACGAGGTGGTAGCCGAATGCGAGAAGAAGGCCAACAAGGTCAAGCAGGAGATCAGCCGGTGGGACCTCGATGTCAAGGGTCAGAAACGAAGCACACAGAGCTCCTCCACTAACAGTGATCTCCCCCTAACGCCGACGAGCTTTCACGCTCAAAAGCTCTCGGAGCCGCCAATCTCTTGCCAGCCAAAATTCATGGATGGGCACTGCACTATGCGTCCCTTCCAGCTGTTTGGTCTCAACTGGATGTCCCTCCTGTACAACAGTGGCTATGGATGCATTCTAGCCGATGAGATGGGTCTGGGTAAAACATGCCAGGTCATTTCTCTTATCTGTCACCTTGTCGAAAACTACGAGAAAACCGGAAAGGGCGAGAGGCCGTGGCCCAATCTTGTGGTTGTACCACCTTCGACATTCTCCAACTGGATGGGAGAGTTCCAGCGTTTTGCTCCCGACCTCTCGATTCTAGCGTATCAAGGCCCACAAGCCGAACGTAGAGAGATAGCATACGAGATGCTCGAGAATCCGGCGGACTACCACGTCGTTTTGACGACCTATACCCAAGTCGGCTCCGAGGAAGATCTAGAGGCTCTCCGAGAGTTGCAGCCCGCCGCAGCCATCTTTGACGAGGGACACAAAATGAAGAACCCCAAGACCAAGATTTACAAGGACTTGATCAGGATAAAGGCCGGCTGGAGAATGCTTCTCACTGGAACACCTGTCCAGAACAACTTGATGGAAATGCTGGCGTTGTTGAACTTTATCGACCCGCTACAGTTCAACGGCCGGATGGACCAGCTTCAGTACATGTTCAGCCAAAAGGTCACCATTCGCGACGTCAACAATGGTGCTTTCCTCTACGGCGAACGGGTTAGCCGAGCCAGAACGATTCTGGAGCCGTTCATCTTGCAACGTCGCAAGCAGCAGGTGCTCTCTGACATGCCGGCCAAGATTTGCAACGTCGCGTACTGCGATTTGGCACCAGGCGTGCAGAAGGAACTGTACGAGGACTACGAACGACTTTTCAAGGCTGGGCCGGTCAAGAAGACGACGACTGGGCGTCAGAGCGATCAAAACAACAGTTGGATGCAGCTTCGGAAGGCAGCCCTTCATCCGCAACTATTCCGTCGTTACTTCGACAACAAGAAGGTTGAGAAGATGGCGAATATTTTGATGCAAGAGGTTCCGCAATCCGAGTTGCAACAACCGCGGATTGACCATCTCATTGGTGAGCTGCAAAATTCTTCCGACTTCGAGCTGCATCTCTGGTGCCGCGATTACGCTTGTATCAGGCATCTTGACGTCCCCGAGGGTTCTTGGATGGATAGTGGCAAGGTCGTCAAGCTATTAGAGCTGATCCACCAGTACCGCGACAACGGCGACCGCGTCCTCGTCTTTAGCAAATTTGCAAAGGTCATTGAGATTCTACGGGAGGTCCTCCACACCGATAACATCAGGCACTGCGTCTTGTACGGCCAGACCAACGTCGCCGAGCGTCAGGACCTGATCGACGAGTTCAACAACGATACAGATATCACGGCCTTTTTGCTGACAACGGGTGCTGGTGGTACTGGCATCAACCTAACCTCTGCCAACAAGATTATCATCTTTGACCAGTCCGACAATCCGCAGGACGACATTCAGGCTGAGAACCGAGCTCATCGCCTCGGCCAAACGCGGGATGTGGAGGTGATTCGCTTGCTGACATCGCATACCATTGAGGAGCTCATCTACAAGGCCTGCCAGAAGAAGATTGAGCTCGCCGAGAAGGTCACCGGTGCGGTGGAGGACTTGGATGACAAGAATGCAGAAGAGAACTTGGAGAAGGAGGTTCGAAAGATGATGGCAGACCAGTTGACTCCTTCATGATTCACCTTGCTTTCTCGAGAGGAAGATCATTTCTTTTCAGTTCGGCACACTTTCGTATTCATTCCGGTTGACCGCCTTTGCGGCCCGCATTGCATCCGTCGAGCGCCGTCCAGAGTTGTACGACACGATACCACACCATTCAGAGCGAGAAGGGGGGGGGGGGCAGAGACATTTGTATTAATCATGGCAAGAGAGACATGAGGCACCACGAGGAAAGTGCGAGGTTTATATTTCAGAGATGACTGGTGAGGAGGGGCTGACGAGGAGGGAGCGGACGGGAGGCCTCGGGGAGAGGCAGAGACAGAGCGTGGGTAGCCCTCCTGAGCGAGCAGTCCTTCTGAGCTTTGGGATAATAGTCCGGATAAAAGATAGAAAAGATAGACTTATTCATTCTAGACGATAGACGAGGATCGGGACCTATCAGGGCAACCTCGGCTGAATGAACTACATGAGTTGCATGAAGTCTCCCTCGGCCCCCACGGTGACCTGGTCTCCTTAGCTTCCAGCTGAGAATATGCTACAACACCAATCTATGCGCCAGTCAACCAAGTTCCGGGAGGAAGCGTTACCATGCTGGATAGGAGTGAGACGAATATTTAGGATCTCCCCCTGGAGGGAGCGGCACAGAATCTAAAACTGCTGATTAAAGCCAAAGCCTTTTCCTGATCCTCGCAAGCAGTAAGAATATCCCATGCTCCCATGTCACTGTGCTGCTGCTCTTGCTTCCCTGGCAGCTTTAGATTGGCGAATCTGCGCCTTGAGTTTCCTCGATTCGGCTCTCCTGTTCCTCGCGCGCTCCTTGGCAGGATCCCGTTGATCCTCTTCGCCCAGCGTTTCAAATGCCTTCAAGTCTGCCAAGAATCGACGAATACGCACACCCGTCTTTTGTCGAATCCATGCGTCGACCTCTTCATCACAAGCAGCCGATATGGCGATGTGGAGACCTCGCAAAACATCTCTGTCATCAATGTCTTTGTCGTCCTGCTCCTTGGGGTCTGAAACATCGCTATCTCGTAGTGTTTTGCGTCCCTTTTCAGGTGGTTCAGCGGGGGGTATGAGAGCTTCCCCTCCGAGAGGCTCTGGGGGTGGCTCGTCATGTTCGACTTCTGAACCCATGTTAGGAATAGCTTGTGCATCTGCCTCCAAGTTTTGCCCTCTGAGTGCCTCATGCCTGGATTGCCTGGCTTCTTGCATCTCCATTTCCCGTGAAGCAGCTTCCATGGCTACTTCAAGTGACGAGGATGAGCTCAAGGTCAGTTTCCATGTGGATGGTAGAGCAGGATTAGGTGTAATAGTTCCGCGACTCGCCTGAGCCGACCGTTCTCTTTTTTCCACTTCTGGGAGTTTTGCGGGTCCCGGCAGGCTTCTGAACATCCTCCCAGATTGGAAGATTGGCGGATGCGCAAAATCCGTTTGCGTAGGCTTGCTCAGAAGGGCGGCCTTTTCCCTAGCCTTGCGTTCAGGCTGCCTGATCGAAACCCTGAGAGGCTTGTCTACGACGCCAGCTGGCTGATTCGATCCTGTGGGGATTTTGGTGTTGTATGACTCCTGAGCCTGTACTTGGGCAGTGTTCTCGTCTGACTTTGAGAGAATAGTGGCTTTCACTGGTCTTTTGGCTACGACAGGAGGCACTTTGCCCCCTGGTAGAAAGTTTTCCTGATCTGAAAACACGTTTTGCTGAGATTCCTTACGAATCCCCTTAGGGGCTGAAGGTTCGAGCTTTGGCGCCTCTGATTGTTTCCTCGAACGGTCGGTACGAGCTTGGGCCCTAGGAGGTATAGGTGGTTTATCATCCTCTAGGTCATGAGGTACGGCCTTCCTCGGAGACTTGCTTTTTGGACTTGGTGCTTCCGCCTCGTTCCGAGGAGGGTGGCCCTCCCGGGGCGGCCGGTATGTTGATGGACGCTGCGCCGTGTTGCCGTGCCATGTTTTGGCTCGAACATCTCGAGAGGCTTTCTCGCCTTTGGAAGAATTAACAACGGCTAGGCCGATAACAGTAGAAGGTTACTTACGCCATCCCTGCAGTGCCTCTGTCTTCTGGGGGTATACTGGTTCCCACTTTGCCAATATCCTGTTTGGCGTGTCAATTGTTGTCGGCGTCGGAGCGGGAGGTGGTCGGCTCATTGTCACGTCAATTGATTGGTCTCTCGTGTTTTGAAAGCAAGGCAGGTTACAACATCTCGAAGTAGAGCTTTCCTTCTTGGTTGGAACTTCGTCGATGAAGGCGAGCTCCCAGACGTCTGGTTGTGCAAAGGCAACCTGCGTGCCCGAAGTCGATGAATCGGATGAGCTCGTTGAAGCGCTCCTCAAGCCATTAAGCTGAAGGTGGCCTGGCTCAGCTTGTTTTCTGATCTCCTGAGAGCGAATCGAGATTGGCTCTGCTTTGACGTCTGGTGAATCCTTCGTTTTCATGTCTTTGTGGGGAGATGTTTTGGGCGGCGACTTTTGACGCTGTTGTTCAGAAGTCACTGCTAGACCAACAGCTTGGAACTGTTCCTCATACGGAAGAAGAGCTGTAACTGTGTGGAGCGATATAACCGACTCTGGTGTCGGGGTAGAGACAGGTAGCTCTCCTGCAGCTTTTCTACGTTCAGCATATATCTCTAGTTGCCGTGCAAAACGATTCACTTCTCGGCGCCGGCTGGAGGTTCTCGATGGAGGTTGAGGTGCTCGCAGAGATTGGTGTGATGATCTATTTGATGGCGAAGCAACAAGGGATACTCGACTCTGCTGCGAAAGACTCCGTCGGACAGCTTCCTACAGCTGTGGATCGGCAACTCCGAATCTTCTCTCGTGAGATGCCACCGATTCGCGGTGCTGAAAGGTGTGGCCAGGATCTGCCATGGCCGACAGAGGGTGGTCTCGGATTCTGGATGGACTGTCACCAAAGTTGGGCGCTTTTGGCTGACTTGGGGATCCCGAAGGACCTGCAACTGGCCTTCTGCGGACGGGACGTGGCTCTGATGCCCGGATTGGAACAGTACGTTGGTAGCGAAAAGAAGGGCCTTGCGGTCTCGGCGATCTAGGACCGGCTTGGACCGAGGGGTCCATTGCGATATACCACGCAGGGGGCGTCCTCTGTATTGAGGGCCTGCTGCGCCTTCGAGACGTTGGCGTCAAGGGCTGAAGAATGTCCGTGGCCACGATGTTGCGCAGCCTCTCTAGTTCTCGCTCTTGGGATATGATGGTCGGGACACGATGGCTCGCTCTTCTGGCAGACACCACAGTCGTTCGAGAGCTGGCCACTTTACCCGATGGGAGTCTGACTCTGCTGGCGCGCTTTGTATGAATAATTATGCGTTGCTGACGACGAAGACTCTCGACAGACCGGCTTATGGGCTTGCGGAAGACGTCTTCTGCTGCCCTGTGTGCTTGTGTCGGCTCAGATTTAAGAATGGGCGGCGGTGGTGAACAAGGTGAAATACAATTACAGTCTCGGAAGACTCTGTCGCAATCAAGCATCGTCCATGCTCGCTGCACTTGAATGGTAGAGATGGATCCAAAGAAGAGTTTGCGTTGGTATCATGTGGTCTAGGTAACAAAAACGTAGCATAGGGGAGACATGTGGTGATACAGAGGGGAGGCAGTCGGTCCTGTTCCTTGCGTGTGGCCCTGGAAATAAAGGTCGGCGTTCCTTCCCAACATTGCATGAGGTCGAGTGAAGAAGGATGCGAAGAAGCCCGATTCTTTCTTTACCGGCTGATGTCCTTGATGCTCGGTGAAGAGTAGGTCTCGAGCTGGCGGCGGCCCTTCCGCAACAAGTGCTCTACAACGGAGAAGTCGCGCTTGTCGACCGTAATATACCTTTCAAACTCTGTCCTAATGTGTTGGTCAGTATGGTGCTGAGCGGCACATGAGGAAGCTGATGTGCGAGCTTGCCTTGCGAAAGATTGAAAGTGAGGCCGTGCAGTCTAGAGTGGTATTAGCATCTCACATGCAAGTCGAAGAAGTTGAAGAGATGTTACCTCTGGCTTCTTCCGAATTTCCCGAATACATTGTCGATAGAGTGCCAAAACCTCCCTTTGAAGACCGGAAAGACCGCGCTTCGCTACTGCCATCTCGGATATCAAATCGGCGGAACTGCAGAAGGAATGCTCTTCTGATGGCTCATGAGAGGATCGTAGTGGGAAAGTTCGATTCTCGAATCATTGATGTCAACCACAAGAAGGAGCTCCATCGTTGTAGCTCGGACCAATGAGGAACGGCAGAAGTCGGATCTGGAGGTCGAATGAATGACTCAGCAGTGCAGCATTGACATTGACATGCTGGAAGGGGCTCCTCGGAATTGTGGAGTCGCATCCGGAACAGGTACACAGCTGTAGTGCTGTACAGCTGCCGGGAGCTCATGGCGTAATGATGCCGATGCATTAGCCGGCGCGCCAGAGTGCTACGCAATACAGTTCGCTCTGGCACATCTGACGCCGAACAGCGAGCCGGGGTTTAGCTCTGGAATCCGTGCTCTATGGTGGGAAGTGTGGGGTCGAAGGATAGTAATCGGAGGCTTCACGTTCGTGGGGTCCAGTCGCTACAGCGTCCCGTCTTCGGCTCCTCTCCCGATATTCGTCATATTCCATCACCTGCAACATATTCTCATCTACTGTACCATATCTTGCTTTATTTCTTCTTGAGCCTGTACCACAAATTTGCAGTTCATTAGTCGTAGATATGGCCTCATTTTCCGTGAGTCAATCGCTGCCCAGTCGTCACTGACAGCAGCCGATGTACTGACTCTCACACCAGAGACTCGTTCGCTTCCTTGCCCGGGATGGCAAGACGTACTACGGCGATGCAATTCTTCCGAGCGGCGTCACTGACATCGCCAAGGCGAGGCAAGCCAGAATCGTGACGGGCGACATTTTCGGAAGACACGACGTCACAGAAAACGTCGCCGACATCAGGCTTCTGTTGTCTCCCCTTGCGCCCGAGCACGTCAAGACTGTACGATGCCTCGGCCTCAACTATGCCAACCACGCCAAGGAGGTGAGATTAGAGTAAAAGAACCCTGAATTGCTCTGCACAAACAGCTAACAGCACCCTTAGTCAAACATGGCAATCCCCAAATTCCCTGTTCTCTTCGTAAGTCGTCGCCGTTTGTAGGAGGAAAGAAGAAGAATGGTAGACTGATTTCTCCCAGTACAAGCCCGTGACCTCTCTAGCTGGACCGACTGACCCCGTTCCTGTGCACCCGATCGCTCAGACCGGCAGCACGCTGGACTACGAGTGCGAGCTGGTCATTGTCATCGGCAAGACCGCCGCGGACGTCTCCGAGGACGACGCCCTCAACTATGTCCTCGGCTACGCCGTGGGCAACGATGTGTCACACCGCGAGTGGCAAATTCAGCGTGGCGGCGGTCAGTGGTCTCTCGGCAAAGGCTTTGACGGCTGGGCGCCGTTCGGGCCTGGCATTGTGACCAGCAAGGTCGTCAAGGACCCTCAGAACCTCAAGATCTTTACCAAGGTCAACGGAGAGACCGTTCAGGTGGGTGTTGGACCGCAGGCAACGAAACATGGGTTGAAGACTAACGAATGGGTCAGAACAACAACACCAAGGACATGATCTTTGGCATCAAGAAGACAATCTCCTTCTTGAGCCAGGGCACTACCCTGCTGCCGGGAGACGTCATCTTCACCGGAACGTAAGTAGATCAACGAAGAGCCTTGGCCGAGACTGTGACTGACGATATATGTAGTCCCGAGGGCGTTGGCATGGGTCGCAAGCCTCAATTGTGGCTCAAGGACGGAGACGTTGTTGAAGTTGGCCTTGAGAATGTGGGCTCTTGCATCAACAAGATCGAGTTCAGCAAGGTTAAGTCAAAGATTTAGGTATAGGGCCGAAAGTGGTGGGGTATTGCATTGTATCAATTGCTAAGATAATGGTCATTTGTTAACTGAAACCTTTTGTGTATGATGGATTTTGAACTTTGCTAAGGCTGTGAGGTGGCGCTCACCGAATTTGCGGCCGAAGCAATGTGCGCTGGCGTATCATAACATCAAGAAATTGAAGATGCGTGATGCAGATTTGCTTGGAAGGTGGCAGGCTTTCTCTCTTCTGGGCTATGCAAATTGCGGCGACTCTTCCCATCATGGGCAGTAAAAACAACATGGGACTCAGCACTGCTCACAAGATGTTAAGAAGTCTTACATGGGCAATCAGTGAAACGAAAGGGATTCATGCTTGGACGATGCAAAAAAGAATGAGAATGAATTGGTTACTTTCGTGCATCCGCCGATAATCGAAATCGGGTCCCTTGCTAACCGCGAAGAGTCATGGAAGGCAAGGATGATAACCACTACACTACAGATGCTGATGGAATTTTTGCCAGGATCCGACTTTATCAATCACTGGGCCAAGCCCAGGAGGGATCGGCCTGTGGCCCGTGCCTCCACCTCAATCTCCAGGCAGGCGTTCCTCTTACTCACTATTTCCTCTCTGTCCAGCTTCAGATCAGAAAGCATACACAGTAGAGGGAAGAGGAAGCCACGCCTTTAAACTTTCATCTGGAGCTATTTCGGACCATTTTGTTTTTCTTCCCTATGCTCTGCCAGGCTGACACCATTCCAGCTCCCGACCAAGGATGTCAATCTATGCCTTAATCGGCGGAAACTCGGCCTGCAAGGCACAGCAGCGCATGTACGACATGATCCCATAACCCATGGATTATCACCAACTGGAACATTTCACCATAAGCCATACTATCCAAAACCAATCTTCAGGAGGCTAAGCGTTACGTGACATACTACCTACCTAACGGCACCAAGCAACCCCTTCGGTGACCAACTGCGGCAGTTACAACTGACTGACCTCCAGGGCGCACTGCACTGCCCGCGCGCTAAGTAGCCGAACGTGCCCAGCTCCGCCCCCAATGCAGCCCAGTTGCCAGTTCGGCCTTCCTCGCGATGTTTATCTCCAAGACGCAAAACTCAACCAACCAGGTCTCGGTTCGCGACATCGTGCTTGACGAGTCTGCCTTGATCTATCCAGCTCCGGTTGGCGGCTACCAACCCCTTTCTCCGCGGCCATGTTCGCAAAACGATAGAGCCGATCTTGGCCGCCGCCAATGCCATTGTAACTTCATGTGGTGCTTCTCCATACCACCTCCCACGCCTCTTTCGGCGGTCTAGCAGTGCAGCTGGGGCAGATTCAGCCCTGTGGTCTGTGAGCTGTCATCAGAGAGCCTCGTCGTTGATCCCAAAAAATGGGGATTTCTTCAAGATTGTCATCATGAGGCTCGGGGGAGCCGCCAAACCGCACCTTGGCTTCCTTCATGCTCCGCTTTGCGCTCACGCCATGTAGAGAGTTTCTTGCGCTCCATTGGTGTTATTGGTCAGATTCTCCATATCCACATCTTCTACCCGGGTTTTGGTATGAGACAGACGTCTACCTAGATAGACACTTTTCCTGCTCTTGATGGCCTGGGTTCTCCGGCGTGGCGTTCAGTTATTTGTGCCCTTCCTTCCGTTTCCTATCGGCGAAGAGCCATAATCTACATCCTTACTAAGACAGCATCTTCTACTCAAGTACATGACTACAACTACTTCAACCGTCGTCGAGATGGAAACTGCGACGAACGTGCCCGCCCGCCTGGAAGACTACGTGGGCTTCTACGGCGACCCATTTGTGACCCTACGAGATCTTGACGATGATGAGACGAAGCCTACCCTGGCCATCACCAGCAGAGAAATAACAGCTCAGAATTCCGCCGATGAAAATGATGCAACGCAGGCGAATCCGGTACAAGAGGATGAGGATGAGGATGAGGCCCGGTGGACTGAATACAACCCGCCGGCGTCCCTCAGAACAGCGCCAAACCTCACTAATACGGTAGCCCTCGAGATCCTACAGGTCTCCATCGGGAACCTCCAGGCGAGAGCCGCCGAGGCAAATCAGCGGCGGCAGCTAGAGGAAGATGAGAGACAGCGGGAAGCCGAAGCAGCAAATGCAAATCACGAGGGAGACGGCACGGTGAAGGAACCGTATCTGCCCATCATCATCACTAGCCCTGATGGAGAACCCGGTCCATCGTCGGCGTTCGAGACAGGGGAAGATGATGTCGAGGACCTCAAACTGTTTCCCGAGATGACGGGAGCGGGCGAGGGCAGCACGTTGTCTCAGGGGCTCATCGTCTTGCCACCCCAGCCCAAGAAAAGAAGCCGCTTCGCCCTGACGAGAATCTTGCAAATGGTTGGTGAAAAGGATACTGCGAAGAAGATTTCCCTTTTCGGCGGTAACTCGAGCAAGACGAGCCTGGAGGCAGCAGCGTCTGCTGAAACTGCTGCTACCGTCACAGAGAAGCTAAAGAAAGCTCCCGTTACGGTGTAAGTCACACCTCCCTTACCCCGTTTCCAACACTGAACCCGTTCTCGACATCTAACACCATACCCACCAGCGAATGCGTCTCATGCCTCGATGACTTCAGCCCCAAGAAAGTAATCAAAGTCACATGCCACAGCTACTGCCCCGACTGCTTCGAACGCCTCATCTCCACCGCCGTCCAAAACGAACACCACTGGCCCCCCAAATGCTGCCTCAACCCGATCCCAACCCGCCTCTTCCTCCGCAAGATCTCCCCCGATCTAGCAAAGACCTGCAAAGACCGCGCCGCCGAGTGGGCCATCCCCGTCGCCGACCGCATCTACTGCGCCGAACCGGCCTGCGGCCTCTGGGTACGCCCGGAACACGTCGACGCCGCATCCCGCATCGCCCGGTGCCGCGAGGGCCACCGCAGCTGCAGCATGTGCCGGGGACCCCACCACGCCGACGACGCAGACTGCCCTCTCGACCGCGACCTCGCGTTGACCAACGCCCTCGCCCAAGAGGAGGGATGGCAGCACTGCGGCCGGTGCCAGGCGCTCGTCGAGCACCGCGAGGCGTGCCAGCACATGACGTGCCGGTGCGGCTATCAGTTCTGCTACGTCTGCGGCCTGCGGTGGCGGACATGCACTTGTACGATGAACCAGCTCGAACTCATCAAGCATGGGGCCGCGGCGCGGCGGCGGGAGAGGTTGCAGCGCGAGGCTGAGGCCGAGGAGGAGCTCCGTGACGCGCTGCGGCAGATTGAAGAGTTTGAGCGCGAGGAGGCGCTGAAAGCCGAGCTGCTGCGTCTCGAGATGGAGAGGGTGGAGGAAGAAGCGCGCATTGCGTGGGAGGAGGAGCGTGTTCGGCTCGAAAGTCTGAGGCGGTACGAGGTCGAGGTTAGGTTCCAGGAGCTACGGGAGCTGCTGGACGAGATCCACGACCTGCAGGAGTTCTTAGTGCGGCACCAGCACGACAAGGAAAGGGAGCTCGCGGCCAACGAGGAAGCGACGTCGACGGCGGAGCTCGAGTCGAAGCAGGAGACCGAGCAGCGAGCCCTCGTCGAGACGGCCGCGGATAAGCTGGCCGCCAAAGTAAAGACCCTGGCGACGGAGTACGGGGCGCGTGTGTTGGCGGAGCAGAGGACGGAGGAGGCGTACCTCCGTCAGCTGGAGAGCTTCTTCGCGGACCGGCCGTCGAGCGAGGCGCGCATTGAGGCGCTGATGCGGGAGTTCCGCGGGACGATGGATAAGGGGTGGCGGGCGTGGGAGCGGTGGCGGGACGAGGAGGTGGCGCGGTATAAGCTCAAAGTCGAGGAGGAGCGGACGATCCGGGAGGAGATTATGTACAGCGTGCGGAAGCGTCACGAGGAGAGGCTCGAGACGGCGCGGGTCGAGCTCGAGAGGAGGCAGGCTGCTGAGATAAAGTGGGTTACGTTGGTTTTTGCGGAGAGGACGCGGATGCTGGGTGCGATGGAGAGCGCGGAGCTGGAGGGGGAGGGGTTGGAGAGGAATGAGGCTTTGATTGGGGTGAGGGATGATGAGGCTGGTTCTAGTTGACGGTGGGAAGGCGGCCTGGTCTATTTGATCTTGGCCGTCACGCTGATGATGTTTAAGACTCGACTTGAAAGCTGTTAGGTATGCATAGGTGTCATGGCTGGGCATAGTGGCAGGCAATTTGTAGCGACTGACGTAGGGAAACACCTTGCTGTGAGGTATAGTAGTCCATGCTCCACATTTGAGATGTTAGCAAGGTGATTCTCGACGCTTAGTCCTTTCTCTGACGTTCGACAAGTATTATGGGATCAATCGATATCATCACGTTCTCAAAAAAACAAAACGGTAGATGATACAAAGTGTCTGTAGATTTGATCATATCATTATATAAGGTCTGTATCGCATGATCCTGTACAACATTAAATAGTGGGGGGTATCTGCATGCTCGTATATGCTTTTATATCACGGAGCTCCAAGCTCGTGAGATGCTAAATGGGATGTAAACCCCAACGCGATGGTGCCAAGCACAGACACACCTCTTTCAACCGCGCTTGTGCTCCAGTTCCTCGGCCTCGTGACCGAGCTTGATCTCCTGCTCGACCTGCGCGAGGTCGAGGTCCGCAACCTGGGCGTCGGGGCCATCGATGACCTTGACGAGCTCCTCGAGAGTAGGGCCCTTTGTCTCGACGTAGAAGAGGTACACAAAGACGAGTTCGAGGAAGATCCAGCACTGTGAGACGCAACATTGTTAGCCGAAATTTTCATTGACCTTGAAGAAGAAGAGTGAAAACTTACAGTGTAGATGAGGTACAGCTTCCAGGTGTGGCCGGTAAAGTAGTCAAACGCATACGGGTTGGCGTAGTTGTTGAGCGTGAGGGCGGCCTGGACGGTCAAGTTGACAATCATAAGACCCTTGGCACGCAGCTTGTACGGCAAGATCTCGATGGAGTAGCTGATGAGGAGACCGGACCACGCGAAGGCGTAGAAGAAGCCAAACAGCCAGATGAAGAAGATCATGGCGTAGTTTGAGCCGGGCGAGCCGTGCTCCTCGTACAGGCCGGCAGACAAGGTCCAGAAGACAAAGGTCATGAGCATGCCGCCCGTGGAGGCGAGGAAGATGGGCCGGCGGCCGAAGCGGTCGACCTGCATGGCGAGCGTCAGCGAGGTGACGAGGGAGAGACCGGTCTGGCCGGCGGAGAGGCCGAGGCGGGCGGTGGAGCTCTCGATGCCGGCGTTGGCGTAGAGGATGTTTGTGTAGTTTGAGATGATGGCGTTGCCGGACCACTGCGAGAAGAGACCGAGGGAGATGAGGACGATGAAGCGGTACTTGTTGCCGGCAGTGCGGAAGAAGTCGAGGTAGCTGCTGCTGTTCTTGGCGGCGATCTCGCGCTTGATGGTTTCGCGAATCTCGCGGAACTCGAACTGGACGGTGGGGTTGTTGGTGTCGCCGTTGGCGTGGTACTTGCCCAGGATCGCGAGGGCCTCGTCGTGGCGGTCCTTGGCGATGAGGTAACGGGGGGACTCAGGGACCCCTATTTGATATCCAGTTAGAAATTGACGGGGGCATCTTAAGTCACGGAGGCTAGCTTACAGAAGATGAAGGCGAGCTGGATGACGGAGGGCACCGCCTGGCCAATGGCAGGGATACGCCACGACCACTCGTTTCCGAGGAAGTCGGTTCCGAAAGAGAGCCAGGCGACGACGAGGGCACCGACGTTCCACAAGCAGTTGTAAACCGTCGTCAAGCGAGCCCGATGCTGGGGGTGGCAAAGCTCAGCGAGCAACATGGGCGAAGTAATCTGGGCAAAGGAGTTGCCGAAACCAAGAAGGACACGACCGCCCATAAACACTGCGAATGGTCAGCCTCTGAGAAAACGTTGCTACATCTTTGTAGCTACTTACTGCCCATGCTTGTGCAGGCGCCCTGCAAGACGGCACCGGCAACCATGATCAAGCAGCCGATGACAATAGGGATCTTTCTGCCAAAGTTGTCGGCAATGAAGGGGCTTCAAAAGGGTCAGTAAACTTGTCCATCGCCGGGGGCCTTCGTGTGAGAACGTCGCTTACACAATGGGAATCGAAACCAGACTGCCGATTTGGTAAAAGGCACCGAGAAGACCGAGCTGGCCTCCCTTGGGGTGATCAAAGAAGGACTGCCATGAGTCGAAGTTCTGGACAGAGTTGAAGAACATGCTACAAACCACGTTACTGTCAGCAAACGGACCTGATCGTATTCTCTTTCATGGTCATTTGCGCAACTTACCCATCGTAACCAGTAGTCGCGGAGGCAATGCAAAGGACGAAGGCGTAGAAGTAAAGCTTCCTCAGACCGGGGTCCTTCACCCAGTTGACCTTCTCAAAATCCGGCGCCTCTTCCTGAGCTATGACAACAGCCTCACTGTTGGTCTTCTTCTGTGTAACGCCCTTGAGGAACCCCATTTTGGCGTCTGCTCAATGGAGCTGTATATCGTGTGTGGGTTGTCGTGGTAAGTTGACGTTTGGCTTTTTTGCCGGCGACCAGAGCAAGAGCCAGAAGCAGGTCTCCTTGTTGTTTGGGCCAGAAGATGACTTGAGAGGGACGGACAGGGCGAGAAGGACAACCTCGATCTACAACGCGGGGTCTCCAGGTCTTATTATATGGAGCAGTGGATCATAAGACGAACAGATGGGAAGCAAAGGATAAACAGTGCGAACAGTCCCAGACGGGGCATCGGACCGGGAAGGCCTAGGTCTAGAGACCGGTCTTTTCTTTGGGGGTGGGGGGTGTTGGAAGCTGGAACCACTTGGTTGGGATCCTTTGCGTGAAATCCTAGCGGAGGTCGACCGATTCCCAATCAGCTGTCAATATCAAAGCGACTTTGAGAATATCGTCCTGCACGAGGACGAAGCAGCCTGCCGGCCAAGGTAAACTGCCAGGCCCATGGAATCTCCTAGTGCGTACGCGGCGCAGGGGATTGCCACTGTCTCCCGGCAAAATGCGATGGGCTTGAACCGTTTCAAGACAAAGCTTCGCTGCCAAGTTTGGCTCCGAGAAGTCTCAAGTCACGAGGGGCGGGAGGCTCTCCTCTACTCTCCCCTCCCGTACGGCGTACACCTATCCGTACTAGGCTCTTCCCCAAGAAATCTGCTGCCGTCCGAACGGGTGAATGCGAATCGGACACCTATTTCTCCAAGCTTTGGCAATTGTATTTTGCCGGGCGCCTGTGTGGACACTTCAACCCACTAGACAAGGACAAGACTAGATGGGAAAAGGGCGAAAGGTGTGAGAGTTCCCACTTTGCTGAACGTTCCCCCTGGGGTCCCGTGGAGAAGGAGGTGGAGGTAAGCAGGGAGGTTGTCTTTCAAGTGGAGACTGCGACGGTCCCGCCCGTTGTTCCATTCTCTTTCCCCAAGGTGACTCGACACGCTCGACTACGACTGAAAATTGTGAAGAAACGTGGATGAACATTGAGGTGATGAGAAGGCCAGTTCCGGGAGCTTTCCAGTTGACGTCAATGGCTGAAGTGTCGGACAAGAAGCTGAAGGAGACAGACAGCTTTTGCCGGCCGCTTGAGAGTTATCCCCAGAGATATCCCAGCAAGTGAGAACGGAGAGAAAAAGAACCGCAAAATTAGACGAGTTTGGGGTTGACTAGTCGACCGCTGCGGGGAAGACAAGGCCGAGGTGGACGACTCATCGCTAAGCTAAAATCGGTCGTTTTTACCACTAGAATGTGGGCGCTGGGAACATGGCGACTCGATTTAAACCCGGCATGACGCCTCCGTGACTCGCCAGGTTTATTCATTCTATTCCGTGTGTTTCCGTATGCCGTGCCGTTCCTGGGCCGGCTTGATGAAGTGGTCACGCCGGGACTGCAACGAAGTATCAGTCTATGGTTTCTTCTCACGCGTGTTATCCCAAATAGTTCCTGGGAAAATGAGAGAAATCTTGCTCGCCACGTGAAAACGAGAAAATCTTTCGACGCATTAAAAACAGCAAATGCTTCAATAAGGTGCTTCGGTGCTCATGTCCGGGGACCAAAGTTTACTGAGATGAGGCGCTAGGCCAAACCGAAAGTGCAGACATCTCCGTCCCGTCGATGCAACTTTGTCGAAGAGGGACCCCTGCTTAGAGAGAGACACCCTCGGTAAAGCTTTCCACCGTGCCACTGGTGTTATTCTTAAGGGCACGGGCTGGGGCATATCAAAGGCTAAACGGTCCTTTTGCGCTTACTCAAACCACGCATTCAGCTTCTAGAGACAAGTCTGCGTTTCCACAGTGAGTTATGGCGATGTGGTATGCCTTTTGACGCCGTATGGCGCTTCCAGCGCGATCAGTCCTCGTGCCGGCGGGATGGATTCCGCAGCAATGGGGCGACAGCGGGTGCATGCGAATCTCTCGTAACTTGGTCGGCCGAGAACCGCTCCTGTCTGAGTACCCATAGACCCACCCTCCCCAAGGTCATTGAGGGTGTGGATTCGTGGGCGCGGGGAGGGTTACCATCAGGGCCAAGATTCATCCGTCGATAATGCTGCTCGACTGTCAGTCGATCCACGATGAAGCGGAACAGCCCGACTTTGTATACCATCCCGTCCCGCAAAGAGGACTCGAGAGTGCTAAGGCCTGCCGTTCTCAGTCAGATCACTCCTTGACTGACTTTTGCCAGGATCCTTGCTAGGTGAAGAGTTCACGTGGGTGCTTTCGATTGTGGGTGTAAACAGCGGTGGGGATCTTGGGGAAGGCCTCGCATACCAGGCCTGTCAGTGGTACGACACTTGAGCAGCTCATACCAAGCATGAATGATCGAGTGCCTTAGTCGAACGGTCCTGCCTCTACACTAAACCGTCGTGGATCGTGGAGATGCGTTTGCGGAGCCCCACGACAACGCTGAGACTCGCACCGTGTCCAAGTTGACTGTTGGAGAAGACTCGAGGGGTTGGAGATTCCTAGCGTGAGGTTGAAAAAATGGCTACTGCGCCGCTGCCTCACATGGGGGTTCTGCCAGGATACCACGTCGTTGACCGGCGCCACCCAGGGCACCCGATGCATTTAGCCATTTAGCCTGATATCAGGCTGAATGACACCCGGTAGTGGATGACAGAGAGAAGATCGCGCTATGCCAACGGCAGAACGTTGGATTGCAGGGTCTTGCTGGTGACTGAACCAACACGAACGGAGTTGCGACTTGATTAACCGTAGTCGGTTCTCAGCCGACGCGTTCCTCGTTGCAGACTTGCAAGTTGCAAGTCGATTGTCGCGTTCGAGACATAGTCAGCCGCCTTCGTGCTTCCTCTTGTCCGAAGTGTCTTTCAACCGGGCCGACTTCTCGATCACGGCAGTCTGTGGACAGTCTAGGCAGCTCATGACAGCCTCGGTAATAGCGATAGTTGCGTGTTCTGTAATCAAACCAGACTGGTCTACACGTAGATGATCTTCTTATGTAACCATTATAGCTGTAAGTATCTTGATGCACAAAGCCCGACTCACACCGGCAGCTGTATCCGAAGGCCGCACAATGGCAAATGAAACCACCATATCCGTTCTCCTTCTTGAAGAAAAGCGCCCAGCTCTCGAATCACACACTTGTCGAAACGTAGTCGGCTTGCGGCTGCTTCTCGAAGGCAGGGGTAATTTATCCATAGATTGCCGGCATATCGCCGCTTAGGGTAATATTCTCAAGTTGCCGATTGATGGGAGATCGTCGAATCCGTGATCTTGGGACCAATTGCTTATATTGCTTGCAGCGCAGCATCCATCCTCCAGGACTGGCCCCTGAGTAGTCTCCGTAGCAAGCCGCAGGACCAAGACATTGACGTTCCCGTGGGAGCAACCGTCAAGCGACGGTACCTGCATAGTAGCCAGTGTCCAGTGGCCGCCTTGTTCCGTGGCCGCTGCAGGTTGGTGATGCCTCGAAAGAACACCTCAAATGGACGTTCAGCCGTAATTTGTCATGTTGAAACTCTTGGGGGGGGGGGGGTTGTTGTCCAAGGAGTGACTGTGCATAAGGTTCTCTGCTGAATTGGCTCAAACTGAATGTTCTCAGATGACGCATGGAGCATCTCCCATATGCTCCCAATGCCTATCAATATGTTGTGGTATGAAGTGCATCTCTTGTTGAAGTGAGGAATTGTGACAGAACGGCGATCAAGATGGGCGCACGGACTCCAATTCGACCAGCTCCTTCCCCGCACAACTCCGGTGTCATCCCGTACTCGTCCCACTGGCAACTTCCATCACGAGATTCACTTTCCACCCACAATCGCAATTGCAATCACCAATTGGCTAGGTTAGGCGCGTTACTGCCGCCTGTGCCGCCAGACCGGACCTTTACAAGATGGACAAACTCAGCGCCCAAGAATTATGGCAATTGAAGCACAACTTCTCGTCGGCCAGAGAATCGTCCGAAGAGCACTTCTTCCGGTGCTGGAACCACCAGGACTGCAAGGTGTGCCTGGCAGAGGACGAATGCAGCTGGTGTCCCATGGTACCGTTCTACCACGCCAAAAACCAGATTCGATAAACGTGACTCTTTGCTAATTCGTGATGTTGTGTCTGCGCTCTTTGATATAGACGTCCGCCTGCGTCCCTAATGCGTATGCGATTCCATTGCTGGCACCCGCCTACGACGAGAACATTTGTCCGCACTGGGCGGAACGATGGGAGTTGCGCACCAAGCCGCTGGGCTGCCAGGTTTCGACCATTACGAGTCTGACGTCCATTGTCTCCATTGTGTCGACGTTCATCGTGGTCTTGTTGGTGGCCTTGATCGTGCTCGGCGTCCGCTGGGGGAGACGACGCAGTAAGCAGGACCCGGACTGGTGGCGGTTGTGGAAGCGTGACTGGAGCCGAGCGCAATTTTGGCAACGACCGCAAGAACAACAGGATAGCGAACGCGACCCGTTGCTGGGTCAAGCGCAAAGCACGCGAGATGGCACGTAGCGAAAAACAAGAGCTGCTGGAGGGATTTACTCCTGCTGTGCCCATGACGACACGATGGAACCAAATCACAGATACGAGTGCTGCCACCGACGGGACCCTTCACCCGGAGCTGACGGGAGGAATGATGGCTACTTCATCGCCGGACCGTATTATCGGACCGTCCTCGTCATCCGGCCCAGGGATGTCTACGTACTCTAAGTTGACCGTCACCAAACACGACTCTAAGAACCTCTCCTTGAACCCGCCGTGTCTCTCCTCAAGCGCATCGAATAGCCTCTTCAAGGGGAGAGGGGCCGGTAACACCTCGTATTGCTTGGATGTGAAGGAGCCAGCGCTTGCAAAGAATAAGACGTTGAAGTGGTCCTTGGGTGGCCTGGGAGCCGCAGCCATGTTCGAAGTATGATTGGTAGAGATCTGCAATCTTTTGTTTGGGTTAGCCAATGCTACAAAAGCTTGGAGTAAACACAAAAGAGTAGTTGATAGTGTTGGTGTCAGAGATCTTGGTGATAATTTTGATACATCAAAAGAATTCAGGTAATACATGCTAATTTGGATACATCATCCCAACTGTTGTAACGAACAAAAAAACAGAGACTGTTTGACTTACCACTTCGCGAGATGCCCCCTTTCAAGGGTTGAGGGTGAAGGAAGAGCAAAGGTCAAAGTGATTGGGAATCCAGAGAAGTTTATAGCTGCGAGAGATGAGGGAGTGGGGCAGACCAAGGAAATTTTTGTCGGCCCCCAATCACGTGACACATACCGAGGAGTTTACGGCCTCGCGCTTTGCGGCTCTCAGGCGAAGTTTGCGGGGCAATTCGCGATGGTGATGACAGTCGCAGTCTGGAGAAGCTGATGCTGAAGATGGTTTCCAAGACTACGCTGATAATGAACTCGATTTAAGACTTACCGTGCATACATCGCCTTCTCACATCATTCCCCGAGGGGACAGTGTCACTCAAGCAGTGTGTACCGCAGTCAGTGGAGATGCAAAGAAACGGTGCAGAAGATGTTTGATGAATTTTCCCAGGCTGTCCATTGATTGATATATCTCGTAGACGCCGTTCCCTTTGCCCCTTCCAGCGTCGCATCACAAACAGGTACACGAGGTCGTTCTTCGTGCAGAGTTGCCTCGCGGCTGGGTGGGAGAACCTTGCTGTATTCGCAATGCAGAATCCGTTTTTTGACTCCTCTAAACACGAAAGCCGTGGGCTCGGGTGACGAAGCCCTCGCAATGTTCCTGTCCCATCCTCAGAACCATGATTCCGTTCCTCGTAATGTCCATAACACACGCCGCCGCCGATTCAGCTGCCTTATCTCAGTCTGCGGGCCTCACGCTCAGACTCGAGCAAGCAGAGGATGTCGTCCTCACGGACTAGAGAGAGAAAGATGTTAGCCAGTATTCTTGGTTCCCTTCGCGCGGTTGTCGCTGTCGCCTGCTCTTTCGGTGAGAAGGCGGTGGCAGGTATTCGATGGTCGCTTACCGGGTCCCTTGACGTTACGGATAATGGAACGGGTCTCGTCGTCCATGAACTCGACGCGGACTTGGGTGACACCACCGCGGGAGCCTATACGCAGTCAGAAAATCTGCCAAAAATTCGTCCCTCCTTCTGTCTCGGTTGCAATCGTGGATTCGATCTTCGTCGGGAAGGGTTTCGTTTCTCTATTTTTCGGGGGAGGAGAGGCGGGGCATACCGGTACGGCCCAGGACGCGGGTGACCTTCACAAGCTTGACAGGCTGCTTAGCGGAATCCATTTTGACTGCGGGCGAAAATTCTACGTCAGTCGATCAAGATCTCTGTCAATTTTTCTCGGGCGTCGCGACACGTACATGTATGTGGTTGCGAAGGTGCTGCTGGGTGGTGGGCTGCGCGGGTTGATGGTTGACTGCGAGTACGATCTTTTTTTCGCTACGAAGACTTGTGGAAGGGCTTTAGCGAAAGGAAACCCTTCCACGGTGCGTGCTAGTGACCCAGCGCCCTCTCATTGGTCGGGAGGTGGGCGCATTGCTCATCTGGTTTCTGCCGTGCTCACCGCTTACCGAAACCCATCTTCAACCCCATATTTGTGCTGCATACCTTAATAGCCCAGAAACAGGCATATGAAGGGCATTGTCTGTTGATCACTCTACCTTACTGTAAGAAACAGATGCCGATGCATCAGACGGAAGTAGGGTGGGCGTCTGCGGAAGTAGAGACTGGCAATAAGTTTGCTATACTTCGAACGCATCTCACATTTCAAATAATTTTTGATCGGGTTGCGGAGTTCATCTAAGGTGCTTTGATGATTTTCCGTAGTCGGGTCCGTAGTGACATACATGCACGTCGAAGTTGGGAAGCTTAGATCCTAAAACCTCGCAAGGGCTCAGCCATTCTACAACGACACATCGATGGCCAGATTATGGACACGTTCGCAAGAGATTTGTAACTCGGCTCGATTGTTCGATTAAAGCAGGGGTATCTTTTGACGGCGGAAGTCAATCATGGCAACTTCGCAATGCGTCCCTCCAAGTCCTTTACCCATGCCTCCATGACCTTCATGTTTCCGGTCATGGCAGTGCCACCCTCCTTCATCGCCTCCTCGACCTTTTCCAAACCATCCTTCCATTGCTTAAGGTCCGTCGCCATATCGGTTTGTTGCTTTTCGATTCTGCCAAGCATCTCGCCCGCAGTAGCAGCGTCAGAGTGGATTGCGCGGAGGGACCTCAGGCGGTCAAGCAATGGTGGTAAGAGAGGAGCGAGGTTCTCAATGGCCGGCAAAGTCCCATAAAGAGCGTTAATCTTTGCCAGCTGCTCGGGAGCCGGGGCATCCTCGCTGGATGCCGTACCATTGCCGAGGGTTTCTTGCGCAGATTTAGCCCCCTGGCGTGCCTTTTCCAGCTCCTGAGCTTCTTGGATGAGGGTACGGACTCGACGGCTGATTGAATCTAGATTCGATGTTGACGCCTGCGACAGAGTTGTAATCTGCTTCTGGAGCCCATCAAGCGTGGGAAGAATGGCTCTGGGCAGCCCATTGATGTCGACTTCCGGCAGGGCGGTTGATCCTACTCCGATTGCCTTCTCAAGGAGGACCAGTCGTCGGTCAAAGTCCGCGGCGGTGGCAAGAGCGTGACTCTGTTCGTAGGTAGGAGCATACGTTACTGTGTAGGTCGCAGAGCTCCCCGGTGCCACCAAGTCTTGCGATTCATTCTTAGATGGTCCAGATGATTGAGACACTGGCTGAAGTGCGCGAGAAGCGCTGGTATGCGGTTCCAGAGTTTTGGAGATCTCATCCAGGACCTTGCTGAGAGACCCTAATTTCTCGTCATGGTCTCCTGTCGTAGGTTTTGCTGCAGCCTCCTTCCTCTTTCCGTACTCCTCCTTGGCTTCCTCTACTTCTCGTTGCAGCCGCGCTATCTTGCGTTCCAGGCTGTCCTCCTCGTCCTCGTCGCTAAGATCGCCGAATTGCTCCGTACCATCCTGCAGGAAACGCTGGCGTCTCGTTGATGCCTTGTATGATTTGCGTTTGCCGTCTACTCGATCGGAAAAGTCGACCCCTGTGGCGTCCACGCCCGCCGGAAGGAAACGAGATCGTGCCTCATCTACCCGAAGTCGGGACCTTGAAATGCCATTGGCGTCATCGTCGAGGTCGTCGTCGAAATCGTCGTCCGAATGCGATTGTCCGGTTGTCGTCTGCGCACTGGTCAGCCATAGCAGACGATCTCAGGGTGAGGAACGCACAGGAACAGTGGAGGTGTCGTCGGTCAGCTCTGGCGTCTCGTACACGTCCGGGGCCGAGTCCTGGACCTCGTTAGTAATGTCTACTTGGTATTTAGTAGTGCGTGTATGCTGACAAGGTCTGGCAATGCTGCGTATTTCCGATTCAACGCCATGACGAAGAATCGGGGTAGAATTGGGGGATTCGGCGGATTAGGACGCGCGTTGTCTGGCAATGCACCTCTTTCGAGTCGTCGGTAAGGCGTCGCCCGTGAAGCTTAACGGCCGAGTTGTCGATGTACGGAGTAGTAAAGTCAACAATCAAAGACCCCTGCGCAGGAAGGGGAGCTCCAGCTTCCGCGCCAAAAGTCACTGAGCCACCAGGGGTTTCCCGCTAACGTGGACGTACCCATTGACAAAGTGGGGTGGGGTCGTTTGTACACTGCTTGGCCGGTGCTTGGGCAGGCACGCGTCGAGAACGCGATTGTAGCTTCCACCTTTTCCCCGGGTCAGCACTTCCACTTAACCTCAAGCGGCAGCAAATTTTGTGGCTCCGGGGGCCGAACAAACAACGTCTCCTCCGCAATTGAGAAAGACCAGACATCGGTCGAGGCTACGTACGAAGACTCAATGTCAATTGGGGGTTGTCGTTGATCGTCTTGCATATGTTCGCCAACCTCCATTACAAAATATCAGGAATTGAACCGGAAGCGGAAGCGAACCCGGCCGGAGACTGATGTTGAGCTCCGTGTGAGATGCCTGCTGGTCTCCGCAGGCAATACTTGATTACCGGTACTTCTGCCTCTCGAGAGCATATCTTAGTCGACCCGACGCTGTGTTAGGCATCATTGTAAGGCACATTCAGGGTCAATATGCCCCCAAAGCAGGCAACGATGCAGAGGCGAGCTGGTCTTGCGAGAGACAACCGCGTTCGGCCTTTATTGTCACAGGTTAATGGCCAGCGACGGACACTGGTCGCCGACGACAGACCGGTAGACCGGCCACCTGATGACTCTGATGATGAGATTACCGATCCAGAACCTTGTAGGGGATCGATTCCTTCGAAGACCGTGCCAAGCTCAAAAGAGGCGTCTCGGGTCTTTTCGAGTACAAAACCAGCTTCAGACTCTGATGATGATCAGAGTGCCTGGTCATCTCGTGCCAACATGGCTCGACCTTATTTCGGCTCATCGAAGAGAGGAAAGGAGCAGAGCAAAATGTGGAGCGCTTCCCAGGAAAGCTCTCAGGGACAAGCGCAATGCGAAGGCTCTCAGGGCTCTTTCTCCACAACACGTGGCAGCAAGAGAAACTCACCAGACGGCGGAGCACTTAGTCCAGAATCTAAGGTAACAAAGGCCCGGAAGATCGACCTTGACGACGAGAAAGAGGCAAAAAGATTACTGGTACGAAAGAAGAGCTATGGTCGAGGCGAAAACAATAGAGGGCGTATCAGACCTCCCACAAAGTCAAAACCGTGGTCATCGCAAGAGAGGCCGATATCCAAGCTAGGAAAAGAAGGTTTGTTGTACATTGGTTTCGAAACTATAGGGTTACTAACCATTGACCAGCTTCCGCGCCCAAGATGGTGCAGCCGTCTTTCAAAGCATACGATGACGACCCATTTGACCAGTTCTTGAGCCAGACGCCTCCAAAACGCATCATTGAGCCTGCGGCCACGTTTCTATCCTCTCCTCCTCACGCTTCTGCTCATCCTGTCCTGAAGCATGTATCTCTCAGTCCTCACTCATCACCAAAGCGAAAAGCAAAGGCCGAGTTCAAACTTCCATCCGCTTCCCTACCTGAGTCTCTGCAGAATCCAACGAATGCGCGCCCACAACTTCGCAATCTAGAGTCAAGTCCTGAGTCTGATTTGAAGAAGACAAGGAAATTCTCGTTTGAATCCTCGGACTTGTCAGACTTGGACAGTGACCTCAAGCAGCTTGTAGAGGCACGTTGCCCCATGTGCAATGAGATTGTCGATGAGAAGCTACTGCACGATTTCTCCAAGGGTGCCCGTCTGCACATCCGAAAGCAAATTCAGTTCTGCCGACTGCACAAAAAGAAGTCTGCTGAAAAGGCTTGGGATGCTCGGGGCTACCCCAAGATCGACTGGGAGGGACTTGATACTCGAATTGCCACTCACTATAGCTTTCTTGGAAAGGTCATCAATGGCGGATCTTCTCACTTTGGTGATTTGCTGCTTGACAAGGTCAAGGAGGGCAAGAATCGGACCTTGCTCAAGGCAGAAGATAGCTTGACACCTGGCTATTACGGCCCGCGGGGCCTTCGTGCATTCTCAGAGCACATTATCGGTCGCTTTTCATCGATTCTGAGAGAACGAGCCGTCGACGATCGGCTGATATCGTCGCGTGGTTATTCTAGCTATGTGGAGGCAGTGTTGGTCCCGGAATTGGCAGTGTTGTTGATATCTGATGATATGGTAGTGGAAGCCGAGGAAGCAAGAAGCATACTCGAGGAAAGCAAGTGGATTGGAGACTTGCTTCACGAAGATACTGGCGATACTGTAGATCAACTAAGCGATGATGAGAAAAGGGGATGATGAGAGAACAGCATCTTAGGAGAGCATGGCAGCCAGGGGCCATGCAATAGAATCGCTAGCATGTGGCGGTTGACTGGTATTTATAGCATCATGAAGCAGATGACTTTACGCCATAGCAAGCATGCAATGAATGATTCTTCCAACAATGTTTCATAGTGCCGTGTCTTCCCCATATTGCTAACAAACTTCAATTCGTCAAAGGCCTAATACCAGCTTCGTTGAAACTACCAAAACCCAACGCCATTCGTGATCAAAACTTTTTCTCGTCAGAACGTTCCTTCTTCACAATCCCAACGCCTCGCGTCTACCCGTGCTGTTCAAATCAAGATACGGCGCCTCGCCCAACGACGCAACACGGTCGCCAGCCCTGGCCTCGACGTAGTCATAGGTCGCGCAGTGCCACATGCTCCTGTTGTCCCAGATGGCGAGGTCGTTCTGGCGCCACTTGAAGCGGACCTGCGCGTCGTGGTTCTGGGTGACGAGGTTGAAGAGGTAGGCGAGGAGGACGTCGGACTCGTCCTTTGTGACGCCGTTGATGCGCTTGGTGAAGCCCTTGTTCACGTAGACGGACTTCCATCCCGTTACGGCTGAGAGGGGGTTTGTCAGCTTGAGGTTCTAGACTTTTTTTTTTGGGAATGCTTTTGACTAGGGGTGGAGTGATGTGATGGAGGGACATTATACTTACGGTTGGTACGGATTACGGGGTGGATGGACTTGAGCTCGGAGCCCTTGTTCAGCGGCGAGCCGCGGAGGCCTTCCCGAAGGGGGTTACCCAGCCTGCGGGCCTCGTCGTGGAAGAATGTGGCGTCGTGGGTGGCCGTCAAGCCTTCGAGGAACTTCTGCATGGGAGGGGAGAGTCTGTCGTAGATCTCATATCCAGAAGCCCACAGCTACGAGTTCACCACCCAGTTAGCCGGGCAAGGTTCCACCGTTCATCTGCAATGCAACTGCAAGGGTTTGATGGCGAGAAAAAGCAAGTGAGCAAGGGGGAGGGGACGGGTGGTTCCAGCCAGACTTTCCAGGGGAGTGAGATGAGATGGGACGGGGACGCGGTTGGTTTGGGACTTACAGTGTCACCACCAGTGGCGGGAAGGGTGTGGATCTTGAGCATTGCGTAGTCCGAGGGGACCTGCTCGAAAGAGATGTCGGTGTGCCAGCCGGCGCTGGCGAAGCGGCTGACATCGCTCAGTTGGTGGGTGAGGCCGCCGCCCTTCTTCTGCTTCTCGCTGCTGATGACGCTGATTTGGTCACCGAGCTCGCTGCCTTCCTCTGTCAGGGGGTGGATGTGAAGGCCTGATGATTCGGGCTGTTTTTCGGGTCAGGTCAGGGAGCTGGGTCTACAGGTAGGGTTGAGGTTTGAGAATTTGGATGTTGTGATTGTCACTTACACATCCGGCAAGTTCTGTGAGACGGAGGCAGAAATCCTTCATTTGGGTGGGCGTGACATCCTGGTCTCTCAAGAAGACAACGCCACGCTGAGAAACTGCATTATCTGTAAGCACAAGGCTGGACTACATAGAGAAATGAGTGAGAGACTCACTTGTCACAGCCAGGTCTCTAATGACCTGGTCGTCGGCCTTGAGGAGATCAACAACCTGCAGGCCCTCATACTCGCGTCCAATGACAGGGGTAATGTCTGCGTTCTTGAACTTGTCTAGAGAACCGGAGTAGACGAGCGGCTTGCTTAAGCGGGGGCGAGCTGCCGAGTTTCCGCCAACAATGTTGGAACCGGTTGAGACTGCGGAAGGCATGTCGTTGTTGTTGGTGTTGATAATCTTTTGTGATTTCACGGGCTGTGAGGTGGTATAGTCCGTTGATGCAGGGCGCTTGAGAGTGTCGTCGATCATGTTTTGTTTGGGTGTGTGTGAGGTAAGATCTGATAAGCAAAAGGGAAGATTTATGAGAGAGATATATGGCTAGATTTTATGTCCGGAGCACCCGTCATGTCCTGTCAATCTCCACGTACGTTATCACAAGGAGGGAGAGTATTGTTCCTCTTTTTCACTCTTCTGTGTTTGCTTTCAAAGCGAGATCGGGGAGTGACCAGTAATGCGAAATGGGGTGAGGAGGGAAAGAAGATCGTCAGACGTTTTCTCCAACGAGGATGGCCTCCCCTTGGTCGGGTGTCAGGCATTACGGAGTACTCAGAGTCCTCGTCGTTACGGAGGCTCCCGACCGGTGGGCGATGGCGCAATCGCAAAGCTTCCTAATTCGGCGAAGTCTGTCAGCCGTGGCCAATCAGCGGAGTGGGGGCACCTCAGGCACCCCCTCCGGCGACAACACTTGGCCATCTAACCTCCCACACGCACACCTCCCCCCCTCTCCTCCTCTGCCTCATAGTCTCGAAACTCGCGGTCCTCGTCGGAGAATCTTTCGGAGTTGAAGACGGACGCGGCAGCATCACGTCTTTGCTCTGGGCACATTAGCTACCGGGGCTACCTTGCCCATTGGCATATTTGCTCCGTTCCTTGTCACAAGCCTTTCTTGTCGACACCCTCCACATGGGCACAAGCAAAACAGAAAACATGAATGAAACCCTCACTCAACGTGAAGCCGTCGTTCGCCAGAGAAAAGGGCAGATGACATGTAGTCAAAACTATGTTGACAATGACATCGCCCGTTGGCCAAGACACGTTACCAGGGGGGGTCGTTCCGAGAGCCCGGGGTTTTAATCGGTAGGCGGAGAATTCTGGGGTAAGGTTTTTTTTATTTGGAGAACCAACTCTCACTTCTCCGGCTAGGCCATCCGGACCCGGTCGCTATCAGCAGCAGCAGAAAAGTTGTCAACACCAT